GGATTGAGGGGGTGGGGTGGGGATGGGGATGGCAGGGATTTAGGTTGGGGGATTAAGATGTTTTTGATGTTTTTGGGTAGGTGGTTGGTGAATGGATATGATTGATGATGGAAGGATGGAAGGATGGATGGGGATAGGGGATTGGATAGTTCCTATGTTTTGATGATGAAATACCACTTTTGTTTTTTCTTTTTCTTTCTTTTTTCTTATCCTCGTTTTTCATCCAAAAAGATATGAACTTGATTCATGTCACCAGATCTGTCTGAATGTTTTCGAGGGATTGAGGATTGCTACGCCTGCTTTCGGCTTTGGAAATGTATCTTCCTTTCTTTCTATTTCCTTGGAGATGAGATCAGATGTGGAGAGATGGGGAGATGGGTTGTGATGAGTGTGTGAATGAGTGAGTGAGTGAATGATGAATCTGAGTATGTAACTGTACGCAGTACGCAGGATATTTAACGGGTCGAACCCCCCCTTTTTTAGACTGGATGGATGGTAGGTAGGTGTTCGCTTAGGCTTTTGGCGGATATTTACTTTACTCTACTACCTAGGCAACCTGATTGAATCTAATCTACGAGTAATATGATTTATTTTCCCTTTTTCATTCTTTACATACCTTGTAACTTTTATAACTGGGTGGCAGTGGGTTATTATATCACTTTTTTTTTCCGGCCTGAAGAGAGATGATGATGATGGCCAACAGTCAGCCAACACGACCCCCAACAGATCTGGTCTACGGTAGGATTACTGTGAAAGTATTACCGTTTGCAATCTGCTTCGGAGTTCTGAAATGAGAAGAACATCACGTATGGATTTTTTTGAACAAACGGTGCACTTGGCTAGCTAGATACGTATAGTGCTATGATAAATACCCCGAAAACGAGTCGGAGACAAGAAGTAGATACCGTAATCGTACGTCTCCTTTCCCTCCACCAATTCCAAAAACGAAAACACAACTCACCACCCTATCTCCTCTAGATCGACGGCTCCCTCACCGGACTGATACACGCTCTCATGCTCAAATCACTCGGTCATTCAGTTGTCATTTTCGAACAAGGCCATTCCGACCGTGGCGGTCATGGGGCAGGAATCAGTGCCGGACCGCTAGTCCAAGAGTTTTTCAGCAAGTATGGTTTGAAGAAGGGAGATTATGCTATTGATGCCGTTGAAATCAGGATGTTGAATAGGGATGGTATGGGTAAGCGGAGGATCAGGAAGTCGTATACGTTAACTAGTTGGTCGGTTTTGTATCATTTATTGAGGGCTAAGTTTGATGGGTTTGTGGTTCCAGGAAAGTTTGGGAATGATACGGAGACGGAGGCGAGGTTTGAGGAGAGGAAGAAGGTCTTTGACGTGGAGGATGATGGGAAGCGTGTCCGAACCACATATCGCGATCTAGATACTCTAACCGAACACGTAGTTTCCGCACACCTCGTCATCGCCGCCGATGGACCTAACCCCTTCACCGCCTCCGCAGGAAAGTGATGCCAGAAATCAAGCCCCAATACGCGGGCTATGTTGCCTGGAGAGGTATTGTTCCACAGGAAGAAATCGCACAGGAACTTATCGAGTTTTTTGATGGTGCTGTGACGGTATTTGCAGGCTCTTCGCCGAAGAATTATATTCTGCAGTAAGCCTCAAGGGACGAAAAATTCCATCCGTTTCGCTAATAAAATCCAGTTACAACATACCAGGCGAGAACGTAGGCAGTCTGGAAGTTGGATCTCGGGCACAAAACTGGGTTTGGTACTGGAAGTCCCACTTACCTAATAAAAGATTCCTCTTCTGGCAATATAAGGCCAATACACGGCCAATTTTCACACTTTCTACTCATTTCCATATCTTCAATTTCTTAAACAAACACAAACAAGCACACTAACACCGACCTCCGAGAGCCTAGGGAACATCTCGGACCCAACAGAACTGGGAGATGTCCTGACTGATGTCGATGGCCACAGACATAACAACATGGTGCCAAAAGGCCAACCCCGCGCCGAAATCTGGCAAAAGCAGCTTTCAAACGCACACAACCTCCTCCCTTCACCCTTCAGCACCCTCATCAACAAGACCACACAGCCATTCGTGGCACTCATCACTGATTGCTTGTCCTCCACCGCTTCCTTATACGACGGGAAATTGTTTCTTGTAGGTGATGCACTGATGCAGGCTCGTCCGCATGTTGCGCTTAGTACGAACCAGGCTGCGATGCATTGTCTTAATCTGGAGAAGGTTTTGAAGGGGGGGATGAGTGGTAAGGTGTGGGAGAAGGAGGTGTTGCGGTATATGCGGCTGAGACGAGGATGTTGAGTAGAGTTTTCGGGGGTTATGGACTGGCTGGTGGGTGGGTGATGCTTGGTAGTGTTGTGAGGTATTTGGTGCTTGTTATTGCGCGAAGGATTGGGAGGGTTTGGGGGTAGTGGATGGAGGGAATGGAGTTGGGGAGTTTTTGGGTTGGGGAGTGCTATAGTTGCACTTTATATTTTGCTGAGTTTGCAAATACTTGTTGGTGTAGAGTGTTCTTGTTTGGACTACTTGTGTATATTGATATTCAATAGATTGGGTTTACAATAAATGCATTTTTGCTGGCCGACTCGCTAAAGCTCACCTTCTAGTATAAGCATAGTATAAAAGACTTGTTTTCTAATACTCGTAACATGAATTAATACCTTCTATCCCGTCCAAGAAGATATATATAAACCCTCCATCTATTTGTGTAGCATAAATCTAATACCGTGGAACATGGAAGATGTATATTTGGAAATCCGACTCGAGCTTCCAAATACCGTTCGGAGAACTCGATGGCTTTGGTTTAAGTCTGTAATCTATATAGAAAGGGAGCTTTTGTTTTGGAGCTATGCTTTATTTATAAGACTATACGCAGGTGCTGTGCTATAGTATATTATATACTATGTTTCTTGGTAAGCAGATGAGCTGGGTGGATTTGTGCTGCATATGGTAGTCATATAAAGGAGGCGAATGGTAGATCTAACTGTTGTGCTGGGTCTACTTTCTCTTTTGCTCCACTTCCTTATTTGATCCACTTATAGTTCTGCTGCCTAAATGCTTCATGTCTGCCTAAACCTTACACTCTTTATATAAACACCTTAGATAGCTAGCTACCTTTTACAATGCAATCAATTCTCCATGACCTTCAGTACCCAATACCCTTTCAACCCAATACTAACATAATATACTAAAGTGCCTACGAGCTCACCTCGCTGCGTGTGGGCGTAAACTCTTTATTATAATATTATATTTGGAGACTATCAGTTCAAGAAGACTAGGTAAGTAAATGGCGAGAATACGGTCACCGGATTTCGTGGAGCTAGTAAGCTATAGCTAATCGGCTGGAGAAGGGGACATATTCTATACTCCAAAGTAATCACTTTATAGTTTTACAAAACAAATTCTAACATCACAGATACCTTTCCAAGCTGGCGAGCCTTACATTCTCTTGTCAACTATATCATATATCACAAACCCATACAGAAACCACAACACCAACACCCCTTCAGCAAAACCACCCACCACCTCCAATCCTATAAAAACTACGTACAATCAACGTCCACCAAACAAGCACAACCGAAATTTCAGTACCACAACCAATACCCCCATAAGTACTGTACTACCTCCTTCCCGCATAGATAGATACAAGCCTCGCTTGTCACAATCTATTTCTATGATCTAGTGGGGACCCAAATTCCCCAAAGCGTCTACTACGGAAAATTTCTTATATGAATTTTCCCTGTTGATCAAAGCATGTCTTCGAGGATTCTCTTCAAAGTGGGTTTTCTGGAGAAGTACGGAAGATTTTTCATACATGAATGACGAATGGAAAGAGGGGAAAGAGGTGGTGTAAGTCGTGGCGTACCCATGACCTGCGAACTGCTAGTTTGGAGTAACTACCCCTAAATGGATGAAGGGGAAGAAGAACTAACATCGCATGTTGCCACTGCCTTTTTCTTGACGAGAGTGGAATTTGTATGGGTACCCAAAATGAGCCCAGATTTCAACTTGACTTAAAGATTGAAATGAAAGACTCACATGGGATCCCATGTTACAGACGCCCACTGCAGACACGACTCCCAAGTCACATACACACAGAGAAACAAATCGTCCTCCAGGAAAAAAGATCAATTAAGGCTTCCCAACCTAATCTCAAACCACTAACACCCCCCTTAAAACCCCAAAAAGGTGACTACTGACTGATATTACAAGCAAACATCCCCATCCCCCAAATTACCAACCCGAACCACCATTCACAACATCAGGCACACCCTCCAAATCACATCCATCCTTCAGAATAATATTATATCCATCCGTATCAAACATCTGTCCACACGTTCCCCCGCCCGTGGCCCACGTACATTGCGCGATGAGCGAGTCACCATACGTACCCATGAAATCGCAATTCGGATGGATTTCGTAGTGGTTCTGAGCAGGAGGGCTCATTAGCGTATTGTTCATCTTTCAACCCGTACTTAACTATGGAAGGACGGACTCACGTCGTTACATAAGAATAAGCCAACGCCACGTAGACATCTAAGGCGGGTACAACTCAACCCGTTGACGTAACAACTTCCGTAGAAGCTGAGTTGATGGCCGACACATTCCCGGGCTTTGTCGGTATCTGCGCCTTTCCAGGTTCGAGAGGGCATGTTTCTGCAGCAATTGGCATTGGCCTGGTTCATGATATTTGGTCAGTGAATTTATCCTTAGAAGATGAGATGTGAATTTTGTGGGGAAGGGAGAGGTGTAGTGAAATACTTTGGCGCGTTTTTTGAGCTCCGCCCGCTTTTGCTCGCCGTCGGGGTTGTAGGAGAGGCTTGTGAGGTTGGAATCGGGGAATCGGGAGAGGAGTTCGGCTTCTTGTTCCTGGTGTGAGGTGTTAGTTAGTTAAAGGGGTATTGTATTGAGAGTGGTTATGGACCTCGTCGGTGCCGGTGAGTTCGATCTCACGGCCGTCGATGGTAATCCGACGTCTTAGAGGGACAATAGGATAACGTGGTACGTTATGGGTTGGTAGGTCAACGGGAGTTGCGAAGACCACTGGAGTAAGAGCAAAGATGTTTATAACCAGAGATGCACTGGCTGTTTTGGAGGACATTCCAAATGCTGTGGTGATGGACAAAAGTCCTCCGAGACACAACATTGAGAAGATTGGATGCATGATCGCAGTTTGTTTCTTCTAGCTAACTTTTGAATGTAGCTTTGATGTGTTTGAGTATCGAGAAAGAGATGGGAACCTCGAGAATCGAACTTTAACATATCAGATATTGGGAAATTAGCATGATGTAAGAAGTGTCAAGATAGGCGATGGCAGGGAATATAAGCCACTTGCTACGCCATCTGGGTATACTTCACCAACATGGACGATTAACAAGCTGTGCAGATTCATGGAATCAGGTTACACAAAAGCAATGAAAACAGAAAGAAATGAGAGAGGGAAGATATTTGAAACGTAATGACGTAGGAAAAACGTATTCAGATAAATCATTGGGAGAGCACTTGTCTGTATTTCTGCTCATACTAGTGAGTAAAATCTCCAATTTATGTAGCAGCCCATTTTCGTGCTTTCCCAGATACAAACCTCAACTTGCCACAGCCACAGTAAAAGAACAGTCATGTGCAGTCCGATCCAGGCATTCCGAGAAATCTGGGGGTTCCGAAGGGGGGTATCAATATCGCATCCAAATATCTCAAAGAGCAAGAACCCTACAGATTCTCTTGCAGTCCTCCTTATGGGCTGGCCATCCCGCTGTAAATCCACATTAGCAACTTGCATAGCAAGCGATAGAGAAATACTAACCAGCTTGGCACTCCTTATTGCAATAATATCTGTCCTTACACTTCCCACAACGCATCATTCTAGGCTTAACACTATCAAGCTGTTCCAGCCTCCCACAGCCATGGCAAGTCTCAGACCACTGGCCTCTCTGCAAAACCGTCTCAACACCAATCAATGTGACGTATCCCTGATTCACCTTCTCGCCCGTTCTCTTCAAGATGTTCTGTGCCTCCAATTGCTCCAATATGCCCTTGTTCTCGGAATATGTCTTCATCCAGAAGGTTTTCTTCAACGGGTCTGCGGAAGGGCGAACGGTATCGTCAGAGCTCGCCGTAAGCATGGCAAACATGGGAGCTTGGTAGTCGTCAAAAGGGTTCTTGTGGGCGTGGATAAGAAGGAAGTTGGGATTTGTAAAGGTGTTGTCTGCTGCGTGTCGACATAGGAGGAGTTCGCCGGGGTTGGTTAGGGGATGTTCCTCAGATGGAGTGCCGTTGGGGAGATGGGCGCTTGTAAATTGGATAGTCTGAAGTTTCGACATCATGACATGATCGTGGGGTCAGTCTCATTATAGATCCTCAAAAGATCATGGAAATGCCTCTCCTGCCTTTTGTAGGTGTTGACGTTGGTTGGGCAGATTACTGTGCTGTATGTACAAAGAGAGTGCGGGGTGAAAGAACAGGGAAACATGCAACGCGATGAGGTCCGTGTCCAACACGAATATCTCACGAATATCTGCTGACCACGAAGATCCCTTTCAAAGCCCTGCTGGCATGACACCGAAATTATATGAGAAATGGTGAAAAGGTAGGAAGTTTAGTGTTAGGTTTGGATATTTGTACATACCTCAAACTTCTTCAAATCCCAATTCTTACTCACGCCAGGAGAACTTTTTAGAAGACTTAATTATTAGATAAACAAGCTGACACAAAACCTCATCTAAGTCCCATAAGAATCCGAATCTGGAAAGCCAGCCAGAAAGCCCCCAAGCAGCTCCATATATCGCTCTCGTTCCTCCAAAAACCCAACATGGCTCGAGTTCTCAAGCGTCACCCATCGTACCTTTGGTATCAGCTCGAAAAAGGGAATCACAGCCAGATCTTGTACCTGGTCATACCGTCCATGAAGGATAAAGGTCTCGACGTTGATCTTTGGAAGATCTGGAATGATATTCCAATCTTTGAGCGATCCTGTGGGCTCTTGTACATCGCCTCCCCACCTATGAATTCGGATCGGAATCAGTTTCCTTCTCATGCGACTACAAGAACTTGGGTGGAAGGGAGAGCTCCATATCTAGGATAAAGATAAGAGCTTACATTGTATCAACTGAAGCCGAATCTTCTTTTATATGCTCGTAAGCGATACGCAACTCCTCCGGCTCAGGCACAATCCGACAAACATGCTTCCGTTTAAAAATCGTGATAGCATCTTGATACTCTTTAGAATCTGTCGTTCCCTCCTTCTCGCCTTTCTCAATTGCATCCCTCACATCCTTAGGCAACTTAGAACGCAGGATATGCTCCCCTTTCTGCTCCAGCTCCACGCTAGCCGGCGCATCCGCAATGATGAGCTTCCGTAATCCAACAGGGTGCAAAGTGGCATAGCGAGTAGCAAGCATACCTCCCCAACTCTGGCCATAAATATCGAATCCATCACGCAGACCAAGGTAATCGACTATATTATCGATTTCCTTGATGAACAACTCTTCATTCCAGAATGTCACATCGCCAGCTTTCTCTCGGAGATGTGTCGACTTTCCGCTGCCGATTTGATCGTAGAATATCACTGGAATTCCGAATTGGGTGTTCAAGTCAGCGAGAGGACCTAATAGCTCGTGGCAGGCACCGGGACCTCCGTGACATGTAATGAGGGGTAGGACTTTTGAAGATGTCGATGTTTTGCCGTGGAGATCACCGATGACCTTGTACCATGTGTGACATGGCTTGCCAGCCCCAGGCGCATCGAAGGGGATTTCGCCTTCTGTGGTTTTGGTTTCTGGCATGATTAGTTCATGAACGATAGACACGCCACAAAGTTGAAATATCAACCAAAGGCTTATCGGAAGAACTCACTGTGCCTCTTGGTTGCAGTTGGAGTTGCCTCATTGGGAAGAAATTACATATGCAATACTGGTCAATATTGCAGCATCACATGCTAGGTGTGCTCACCAGGCGGTTGAAAAACATCTTTCAAGTTTGCTCGCGTGTGGGAGACTTTGTGTATATTATAGACTTCGTCAAGATAAGTACCAAGTGCAAATATTCAACAAGATAGGAGGTCTAAATAGGCCTCTTAGAATGCGTTTTATCATGGATGTCACCAAAGTTTTACAAGGTTCTCGCTTATAAGATTAAGTACATTATCTGTCATTACCTTTATGTTTCTTCTTGTCAAAAGGACCAGCAATAACTTTATATCCTCCTTGTACAAGATGTCTCTCCATAGCCCATGACTGAATGGAATCCCAATTCACACACTTAGACTCCGTATTAGTCCTTAACTCAATATGGTTCTCCTCATCAGATGGCTTCACCCATTCAGCATTCAAAAGTGCCAGGTCTGCGTGACACATTACTTGCTTCCTCAGAGTCTCTAAGCAATGTTCTACAATATGTTAGCTTCACTTCAACACCTTTCTCCAGCCATAACCACTAAATTCAGCTTAGGGTCTAAGAAAGTGCTACGTACCAAAGTGTTCCTCTGTCACTGTTGTATCGTACCCCAAATTCCTAAAGTACTCGATGTAATGTAATTTTCGAAGACTGTCGAGGCAGTGGATATGATGATACACGAGTGGGACGACGGGATATCCGGTTTTATCGGCGAGTTGAACGATATTTGTTTGGTTCGCGCCTGCGAGCGTGAGCTCTTCTTTGGTTCCGCGAACGTTCAGTCCTACAAAGTTTTTAAGTGTTGTTAGATTCCGATAGTTTCTAGTCTTGTGGACGATGGATAAGGAGAGGTACTTACCCTCAAGTAATTCTTCCCAAGCATCGTCAACTTCCGCGGATGGAGGACCAGAGTATTTTGTGTGTCCACCCCAAACACTCCTTCTCTCATATCTGATGACGGAGTTTGCAGGGGCTGTTGAGAAGGTTAATACTGTGATTTCTTCACTGGGTCGGGTTGATGAAGATGTGAGTTTACAATATGGCAAGTCATTGTCTGTAGAGCTCTGTCTCTTTGCAATATCAATCGTCAGGGTGATACTGATATATGATAAGAGGATAAGTGACAAAATGGATGAGAAAGTCGCCACTCTCGATCCCATTGAGCCTGTGCGAGGAGAGTATTTAGGCGTCACTTCCTCGCCATCATCACCCAACAAATGCTCGGTGGATTCTGTTTTTTCCTTCATAATTCTGACGAAGTGGAATTTCTCTGATTTCTCGGGACCAGTCTTTAACGTGAGAGGGGAGTCCAGGTTCTGATAAGGCTGAGAAGTCACTGCAGACTTTTGCCTCCGTGAAGTGGGGGGAGGGGCAATAATTGTGCACAAAGGGCACATGAGGAAGGTCATTATCCAGTTCCACCGACTGCAGCACAAAGATTTATCAGTGTGGCTATTGATAACACTCGATGTGGGTGAGAACCAACATGGCTGCATGATAGCATCACAGCCGGAGGGAATATAAGTATAAACTAGCGGTCCAGACATTTCTATACCCGCCTTTCTGGATCTTTCTCACCTCTACCCACTATCTCGGACCCGTTGGCAAATCATCAGATATCTCCCTCGCGGAGTTCTTGTCTTTATCAGACCCCAAATTCGCCAACGAGACATCGATAATTCACAAGACAGTCTCCTCGAGCAATACCAACCATGCTCGCCCTTACGAAATATCTCTGCATCTCTGCGATCTGTGGCCTTACAATCGCTGCTCCAGTATCTCTTGGTAAGAAATCCGTGTGTGGAAAAATGGAGATTTACTAAACGAGAGGTGCATAGATGGCACCATCCAATCACTCGGTAGCGAGACCGTTAGCCGTGACATCACATATGTACCCGGCGCATCCAACAGGCACGTTATCACCAAACGGTGTCTGGGTAAGAGGTGCGTCAAAGTGATTATCAGAAACAAAGAAGGGTTTGCCGAAGGCGATGCTGCCAAGGTTACGAAGAGGTGTGCGGGTTACAAGTGTCTTGAAGCGGTTATCATAAGTGAAGAAAGGGCCGTTGAAGTGGCCAACAAGAAAGTGGTCACGAGGGGCTGTTTGGGAACGAAGTGTGTGGAGATTATTATTGTTAAGGAGGAGAGTGTTGTTGAAGATACGGAATAGGGTATGCTGATGATGGATATGGATCTCTGCTATCTAGCCGGTCAAGCAATATAGACTGCAATATAAGGTACATGCAGCTATTTTCCCCCTTGAGTACAGTGCGTCGTATGCATGGAACTTTATTTGCCAAAATCATGTATTTTAGCACAATACCTAGTGTATGGAGCTCCTAAGAATCAAGCCCCTTCCCAGCGTAAAATCGCAGAATCTAGTTCTATCTGAATCATATTGACTGGTGAGTCGCAAGGCCCAATTCTATACTCTTTTGAACTGGAATTCGATAAAGATCTGGGGATGAGATTTCCAAACCATCCGATTGCGAATAGTCTGGTGCCTTAGTCGATTTTAGATGCTTCGCAGTTTCTTATCCAGGTCACTGCCGAGAGTAGGGCGTTGAGTGTGTAGGGGTAGAAATCCTTCAGTGAAAAAAAAGCATCCAATCGCAAACCATGGCGTGCCTCAGCTGAAAGTGGACTGGAAGTAATTGGCTTTACACTTTCCACGCCTGGGTTGTCTCCGTTCCGTGTGCGGAGAGGGTTACATTCGGCTAATATCACGCAAGATAAGGAGAGGCACAGCAAAGGTAGATGAAGTGAGTTGGTTTTGAATATTATTGATGTGGATTAAACGTGTGTCGTACTAAATTTAACCTTATATCTTTCTATGATTCTTATATCAATGAGATCCGTGCTTGAAAATTTTATGTACTCGATGTATTTTTTGAGTTGATGGGAGCACCAGGGAGCAGTGCGTACACCCCTGTGAGCGCCTTAGCGAGGCGATACGACCCCACTCATAAACGTCCCGTTACAGATATTGGTTGCCTGGATCTGATGCACCATCCTGGAGGAAATAATATGGGTAAGTAGATACAGTCCTCAATTGAATACCTCTGGAGGTCCCGTAATTCTAGGTCCACACAAGATTACTATTCTTATCTTCGCTTATCCTTGATCGGTGCCACAACACTCCTGTAACCCTTCAAAATAATGGTTGGTAAGAATACCAATAAGGGTTTAAAGTGTTTAAGCTTTGCTTGTCAACTAACCTTAATTGTGCTTCTATCCTATTAGAGCTCCGTCGTGCGTTGGCCTGGCTCTGTTTTAGTACCAAGTGGAGACATCCGAAAGTGAGTGCCCGAATTCTCTGGTGGACATTTCGATGAGAAATGTCCCAAAAACTTCAATAATCCTTGAGGTGGGTACCCCCATGTCATCCGATAGATAGGTCCGGAACCGATTCTGTAGCTCTGATATCTATCTCCCCACGCCATCATGTAACTCCTGCTCCACCCTTCCCGTTGGATTTTCTTTTACCACTACTTCGGTAACCATCATGAATGCGAGGTCAACAACAATCGTTGCGGTGAGCGCTGTGCTCGGAATTCTGGCAGTTCTTGTTGTGTCTTTACGCTTTCAGGCGAGACATATGCAGCGACAAAAACTGGGTGTTGACGATGCTCTACTCATTGCTGCACTTGTTAGTTTAATCCAGACATCACGACGGAAACAAATGACATTACCTCGAAAATTCGCTAATCACTTGGGTAGGTTCTTACCATTGGCGTGGTTGTGATCGATATTATTGCGGCGACCTGGGCGCGTGTGGGTGAACATGAGATCTTTATTACAGAGGGTCCTGAAGCTGGTTTCCCTTTCCAGTGGGAGATCGATCGGCAATCAATTGTAAGGAATCCAATATCTAGCCGCACTTTCTATTCGAGAATGGTCCCTGTATAGAAAACAGAGTGCTAATATAATATCTTTTGTAAACTCCAGGTCCTCTTTACCATTCAGATTCTCCATACCTGTGCCATGCCAACCATCAAAGCATATACCCTAGTTTTCTATCTTCGCATATTCGTATTTCGGAGATTCAAAATGCTGGTCTTTGCTGTGGGGTTATATGTCTTTCTCTGGTGGGTTGCAGTGATTTTAATCGCGCTCTTTCAATGCCAGCCAGTTGGTGGCACTTACAGTTTGATATCGAAATGTCTCATGGGTCGGGTAAGGGAGATCCTACAGCGAATTAAAGGGGTGACTGACATAGTCAACAGGAATTTCTGAAAGCGCAACAAATTGCCGGAGTCTTGAATGTTATAAGTGATTTGGTTATCATTGTGATGCCGATACCCGTAGTCCTGAAACTGCAGATGCCTATGCAACATAAGATGACAGTTGTGGGAATCTTTCTCACAGGATCAATGTGAGTTGGACCCTTGTATTTACTCTACAAGACTTGATTCCGAGACGAATAAATACTGACTGATTCTCTTCCTTAGGGTCCTCGTTGCCGGTATCGGACGAACAATATCGTACTATCAAACTCCTCACGACTATGATTTCTCCTGTTAGTAAACACCCACTCCACAAGACTTCATTGAAGTAATAAGTTTTGTGTATCTATAAACTAACTTATTCTTTATCCAGACCACGATTACTACTTCCTCATCTGGACTTCCATCGAACCATGTATGGCTATCATAGGTGCCTGTCTACCGTCATGTCGTCCCATCTTCAAGCACTACTCGCCGGAGTCGATCGTCCGAAGCATCCGAATTGCCTTCTCGCTTCGCTCCACGAGCAGCAGAAATGAAGTATACGCAGATACCGACAGAGAAGCCACGAGGAATCGACCAGGATCCTCAACTGATGGTTTACAGCTATCTGAACATATCAGCAGTAAGAAATCTGTCCATGATGGGAGGAGCAGTAGTGTATCAGAAGTTTGAGAGCATCAAGTTGGTACTTGAGGTCGGTAACTTACGCTTAACGAATTATGCGAGAAGAGAATAGCATTGTGATTAAGAATCATGGCTTAGAAGCGCACGCATGGGGAATCTAAAATTATACTTTGATCTAGAATTTCTCGACAAGAGCAACAAACCAGTTTTCTATTACTGTACTGTATTAATATGAACAATTATAGATGTAAAAAAAGGATGTCCCCCCGACTTAGACCCGGCGCGACGAGGTCCGTGTCTACCGCGAAGATCTTCTTTTAGCAACCTTGAAGCACTACACGAAAGCAATAAAAAAACGACCAAGAATAACTACGGTTGCAATCACCTCAATTCTACGTCAGATTGTATTTATTTATTTATTTTTATAGTTTGCGTAGCGTTTACGATCTTTCTTATTGTATGGAGTGTGCATCATAGAAAGTAGACGCTGTTTCCGTCCCTTATAGTCCCTGTAGACAACGGCCACTCCCACACGATAACCTTCCATTTGTAATGGTAATTGAGATCGAGCCCTCCATCCAGAATGTTACTTTGGGCACTCCTCATGGCACTGCTTGTTCGCCAAGTCAGATTTCATGGCCTCGCTAGAGTAACACCCTGCGTCTCAACTTCCGCCGACTTTGTCCACCTTCGGTGAGTAGTCCGTTTCATATCTTGGAGAGAAGGGCTGATGCCTATTTCCGAACACGACATGATTTAGAGCAGATGGGAGTACAGAATGTTTGCTTTCAGCCAGCTCTCCCAAAATATCTCTCATCATGTCGTGGCTTAGAAGTTGGCATTAAGTCCTTGCAGTATCGACCCCACTCACTCGAGTTATAATTGTACGTTGCACTGTTTCTGATAAATAGGCCCTTTGATCTGGTCTAAGCCCGCCCGATCTCTTTTCTTCTCTTCTAGACTACTGTAGCCCCACCGTGCGTTTAAGCTTAATTCCATAACTCCGATTTGTAGGATGTAGAATGCTGTCCTAAGCCCTACTAATACTACACTTCGATTGGATCATCTTGGGCTCGGATTTTCAAAAAGGTTCCGCTTGCAGTGACGATCACTAGGTTATGCCCTGCTGCTGGTGGGAGAAGTCCACCTCTTATAGTGCCTTATTTTCCATCTCAACGTTTCATTCTTCTTACTTGGAAGTACATTGTCGTAGGCACGTGCCGTTGGGCTGGGGATGTCCCCTGGTTCTTGGCTCGCACTGTTGCCACTCGCTCCAGTCTGGGTTGCCGATCTTTTCGGAACTATGTTCAAACCTTATGTAGAGCCTCTTCAACAAATACTGTAGTGTCTTCAGTCTTGCCTCGATCACGTTCGTATTGGGATGTGATGAATTTGTGCCTGAGAGGGGCAGAAGCGTTTTCTCATCCTTGTCTTCTACTTCAAGATCACGGTATGTTAATCTGTTTGTAGTTGATATCCTCTTTTAACATTCAAGTCCTTAACATCAGGCCAAACTTCTGCGAGCCACCTAGCCAGATGTGAAGCCCAACGTCTCAACTACTGTACCAGATGGAGCTTATGAGTTCGAATATGCTCATGTCAATAGTTTCGAAACAAAGATTTCTACCAATAACATCTCATCTAAACTCCCTCAACCAATACAGTTTCGAGGGCCGTCCATTTCTTTCATGCAGTTCCGTTGCGAAACTCACCTCGCGACAGGCATATGTTGACTTACTTTCACTCCAAGGTGGAATTTGTCGAAGCTCTCGCCCAACAATTGCAGGCCAGTCCTAGCCAATACGAGTCGTTGGCAGGATTTCCCAATGCACTACGGCTCTTCCGAAAATACGATATCTGGCTCATGTCCCAGTCAACGATCATTCCTAGAAGGATGCGCGAAAGCACAATCATACCCACAACTATTGCTACATGCGTGTCAACATGCCTCCAACGGGTTGGAATCAATATTTCAACAACAAACGCATCACACACGAATCCGTGATTTTAGATCCGGTAACGGGCCTGAATACTGACAGATCGACCAACGCACCTACGATTCTTGCTACCAATGGCATACTCACGTTAATGGCGATGGTGACCGTCGCTGCGAGGCTCTATGTGAAAAGTGTTATGCTCAAGACGACGGGAAGGGATGATTGGGTAATCTTAGCGGCGATGATCTGTGGATTGGGAACGATGCAGTGTTTTATTGGGGAAACGCACTACGGATTGGGAATGCACATAGATGCCGTTTCGATTGAAGACCAACAGGAGCAACTGCACTGGCAATTTGTAAGAATGGATTCAAAATACCCCACCTAGGGCAAAGCGGAGAATTGCTGGTACTTATATTTGTGTTGGAGATCATTGCTGACATTTTCATTCTATAGTTCCATACGCTGTTTGTCACCACTGGCATCACGCTTGTCAAAGTATCGATTTCCTTTTTGTTGCTGCGCATTGTTCCAGACAGGAATTACAGAATATTCTTATGGAGTACTATAGGTAGGTGGTGACCCCCAAATGATATGACGCAGTTGCTTACCACAAATGTCTAGTTTTCTTGTGTCTGTTCATAGTCATATGCGCCACTGTAAGCTCATATAAACTCCCCATAAAACTTCACTCTTACTAAATTTATTATCCAGCTATTCATATTCGCGTGTCGGCCAATTACAGCGAACTGGGACTTTTCTGTGCCTGCCCAATGCTTTGATTTAGGGACCTTCAAAGCCATTGTGACTTTTCCCTCTTCCTATAACACTTGATATCAAAACTAACATGAGCCACAGGGAATGTTCAACAGCAGTAAGCTTGACTTTTCTAAATAGATATGTTCCTACTAAACAGCAGCAGTTGTCAATATTGTCACCGATGTCCTCTTGGCCTGCTTGCCCATTCCAGTGGTTTGGACTCTTCAAGTCAACAAAAGAACCAAGGTCTCCTTAATCGTTGTTCTAAGTTTGGGATTTGTGTAAGTTGAAGAGACTTTATCTTCCACGTTCTAAGGCCCTTTACTTATACTACATAGCGTCTGTTTCTGTGCCATCTACAAAACTGTCATCCAAATGACTGCCTTTGAAGACCCTGATAGAACACGTGACGCTACCTTCTCAACCTGGTACAGCGTGGAGCTCTTCGTGGGTATTATCGCCGCATCACTTCCCTCTCTACGACCGCTCTTCAAGAGCATCCTCGAAACGTCGACGAATCTTATGCGTTCAGGCTCACATAAATTCGGGTTGTCGTCGGGGGCTAGTAGTAGTGGACAAAGTGTACGTAGACGGGCACCACCAACCTACACCAAAGAAGACGAGGCTGTAATGGAGAAGATTGCACGAGGGGCGGGGATCAACGATATACAGAACTACAAGTTCGAGATAATGACGAGTGTGGAGCCGGCGTCGAAACTTAAAAGGCGGATGAGTAGCAGTGAGTTGGATGAGATGTATCCGATCCAGGGCATAAGGAAAACTGGTCAGTAATACTCCGTATTTCATTTCTATGTACATGTATATATTTAATACTTATTTTGAAACCAACTGGGACTGGATGTACGAAGTCAGGGTGAACCGGGGAATCAAGCTGATGATGGCCATATAGTCAAGGTTTCAGTTTCTTGAGGGATCTGTTACTTGAGGATTTTTTTTGTTTCGCTTTGAGGAGTTTTCCGAAAAGGTCTTCGGAAAGGGGATGGGTTCAGGCCGGCCTGCAGTGAGTGGCACCAGTGGGACGCTACAGCACAATACCCAACAGTACCCTAGAGTACCGACCACACGGTCCAGGTGGAGTGGGCGGTGCACGTTTGGTGGGGTGCGAACAGTACATCACAGCACATCGCAGCGCTTCAAAATATAAATATAAATATTAATCATTAACCACTACTCGACATTCCCCCTCTTGCCGTGAGAACTATTGCATTACATTGGGATCGCTTATCAATCGCTTAATTACTTGTAAACACATCGGAATCAACTGATTCGGCTCAGCCACTGCACTGCGCTCCACCAATCAGAAGTCGGTGGCTGGGGGCATAGCAACCGCCCGCATCCGGTTGCTAGGACGTCCCTCTTGTCCAAACAATGCGCCTCAAGCGGCGCATCTAGACCGTCAATATGATTTCTTGATTGGCTACGCCAACAGCTCTCCAAGACAATCAGTTGGCTGGAGTGTTTACTACCTTGTACGTACAGGTCTCAAGTCCGGCCTCGACTTCCTGCAAGTATCCGTATCCGTATCCATACAGTATCCTTCAATTCCAATATCTTCATTATCGTGGTCGACAAGTCGAGGGTGTCGACGTCCGGAATTCCACTCGCATCTCTGTGTCGTGTGTATGAGCAGTGCTCCGCCTTGAATGCCGGCTCCCGATTGACCAAGATTGCACTGGAGCACAAGGTCGGAGACGATGTAAGCGATCGCAGCAGGTCCATTCATTACTACGTCAGTTCCACTTCATTCTCGACAACTGCAAACGATGAGGTACCACCACGTCGCCTCTCCGCGATGGAGATGGGTATGGACCCTGGCACCTTCAATCTTGCAATTTCCCGTTGTTGTCTCCCAATCGTTAGCATTGCCATATCATCCGACTTCCATATTACTATCGCAAACGCCCTCGAATGACAATGGCATCGCATATGCGTTTGTGCAAAAATCTGCTTCGGATTCTACTCAGCAGCTTGTATCTTTCAATATATCCTCACATATTTGGACCGCGAATCTATCATTAAGTGCGGTTACTCCCAATCTGCCGTTTACTAGTGATGAGACTGCCGCATTCATACCATCCATATCATCTGCCAACGAGATCTCCGTCTATACTGGATCGTGTGCAGGTCCGAACAATGCGCAGCTATGGCGCTTCACACCTTCGACCGAGAACGAGATTGGCAATGGAACTTGGGCAAGAGAGGATACAAAGGTTCCCAGTGGCGGAGGATTGATAGCAGGACCTGGTTTTCTCTCCAGCGGGTTTACATTCTCCTCTTTAGTCAACGCCAAAGCCTCTCAATCCAAGATCTACAACTTTGGTGGTATGTGTCCAACGTCCGATGCTACGGTATCAACATGGCAGACGGCTGCCAATTACTCAAACGCCATGCTTCGACTTGCTCCAACAACACCGTCGTCAGCTTCGGTCTTCTCCCTCGAACTTCTCACCAGCAGAGGTCCACCGATCGCTGAAGCGGGCTTTACGATTACTGGCCTTGCTCCTACCTTCTTGAATAACTCCGGCACGTTGACACAACAAAGGAGCTATATACTATTTGGAGGACATACCAAAACTGCGTTTCTGAACACGAGTACTGTCGCGCTGTGGAATTTGCCTGAAGAGGGCTGGAGTTTCGTTGCGGTGAAATCGCCAGACTCTGCGAACACCGAGTTGGCTATTAGAAGTACGGCGAAGCAAGTAGATAGTAGATCTGGACATACGGCTGTGTTGACGGAAGATGGATCGCAGATCATCGTTCTTGGCGGGTGGGTGGGGAATACTGGTCAGGCTGCTGATCCCCAACTTGCTGTTTTGAATATTGGTTCCGGGTTTGGAGGGAAGGGGGATTGGCAATGGACAGTGCCGACTGTGCAGCCGACCTTTCCTGGGATATTTGGACATGGAGCGGTGATGTTGCCTGGAAATGTTATGATGATTTTGGGAGGGTATAACATTACTACTTTAACAACCGCGAAAAGAGATGTATCGACGTCGGGCGCAATGTTTTTCAATGCGACTAGTTTGCAATGGGTATCATCCTATACCAATCCTGCATACGTGGCTGCTCTAGCAGCAAAGGCCGAAAATTCTGGATCGGGAAATTCCAAGGTAAAGACGGTTGGTCTGGGAGCAGGTTTGGGGCTTGGTTTTGCTGCAATCATTTTGGCAATCGGCGTCTACTTTTGCTATAGCCGGAAATTGAAGAAGAAGCGAGAAGCAGATCGCGAAAGAGATCTGGGTGCTTTGGCAGCTCAGTCGAATAATGACTACAAAGATCCAAACAATAACATGATCGAGAGAGGAACGGACTTCCCTTGGTCAAATGGAGGATGGAATGCCTACAACGATCGGCAACAGGCCCTGTACGATTCTACGAGTGCTTTGGCAGGTTATGAAAACTTGCATGGTGGTGGACATGTTATGGGGGATAATGGAAAAGTCGCATCTACACCAAAGCAGATTACAAGAAAACCTCTGCATTCCAGAAATACTAGAGGTACCTATCAACTGACGCCAAATTACGACATGGGTAATGGTGGAAATCATGGAAGGACGAACAGCCTTGGAACCGCAGGACCAATCCATCCTATTTATGAAGCAGATGAGGATGACCATGCTCGCGGGCACGCTCACGGTCCAACAACGATCGGCTTAGCGATTGCAACAGGGGATGGTATAGCAACAGGCGAGAAGCGATACTCTGATCCTTTCAAAGATGCTTCAACCCAGGGTCCATCGATTATTCGCCAAGGTACCAATCGAAGCGTGAGTGCTTCTGAGCTTGAAAGTCCAGCTCAAGAACGCGAGCGAGAAATTCAGGAATGGGTATCGGATTGGGCTGCAGCAGATGCACTTCTTAATGCTCAAACACAAACGCACTCTGGTGCTGGTCGTATCTCACCTACTCGTCGAGCACAACTCGTCGCTGGAAGTCATAGTGTCAGCTCGGTTTCTGGCGAGGAAGATGGACGCACAGCAAGCAATCTAAGCGAACGCAGTGGTGTATCATCCATGTCGCGCTCCGGGTCTGGTTCCGGTCAATCGAGAAATAATTCTCTTAGGGGCTTTATCACTACGACCATAAATCCGTTTTCTTCGACGCCTACAGTAGAAAATTCCACCGCGCAACATAATGCTCCCCATTCAGCAGGGAGTGGATCCAGTTTCAGCACAGCAAAAACGAGTTTTCCCACCCTCCAAGCAGAAGGAGAAACTCTTCTCCCAAGACCAGACAACAACCACGACCGCGACGACTCATCTCCTACCAACGAACCTGGCAGTCCCTCCAAGAGAAAACTCTCCGTACGTCTCAAAAGAGGCCAGACAGGTTGGCTAGGTAGTCTCCGTCGCGCAATCGGCGTCGAAACAACCCCCGAAGACGTCCCTCTGGAGACAAGTCGCGAACCAAGTCCCACCCACCCTGAGCCAACATCCAACTCTGACGCCGTCCCCCGAAGAGCAGTGAGTGCTTCGGCCACTTTATGGCGTCGCAAACAAGGGAAAAGCGACTGGGAAGACAGCAGTGATGAGGTGCATATGCGTGGCGGAGAGATGAGCACGCGATCCAATACTTTCACTAATGATACCAGTCGTGATGCTCTTATTTCCAACACCTCAGGCAATCGAAATAGTGCGTATGACGACGACGAAGATTGGGATATCGAGAAGGCGGTTGAGAATCGGGTTGTGCAGGTTATGTTTACGGTTCCCAAGGAGAAGTTGAGGGTTGTTAATGGGGCCGTGGAGGATGGGAGTGAGGTTGGTAGTATGAAGTCTCGGGTGGGTAGTGTGAAGAGTGAGAGTGGTGGTGGTGTAGGGGTTCCAGGTGGGAATGGGGGTGGAAAGGTTGAAATCCCTCCTATGACTCCATTACTTTCTATGGGCGAGAATGAAAAGGGGGATATTCTTGTTGGGGCTTTGGGCACGGTTACTCCTGCTCCTGCTCCTGTCACGCCGACGAGGGGCGGGAGTCCCAAGGGCAAGGCGAGGGGGGCGAAGGTAGGCGAGATTGTGGAGAAGCTTGAGATGATTGGGAGCCCGGCGCGGTAAATATTTTCGCTTCTTATCTATTTACTTTCTTCTGAAAACTAGGTGGTTTGTTTTTTTTGATTCACTTTTGGCGATTCTTTCGGACTTGGGGGGTAAGGATTGGCGTACGCATCTCTTTTAGGGAGGCAATCTGGGGGATAAGGGGATTTCTTGTGTATGTTTCTTTTTTAACTTTCTTTGGGATGGGAAACGTTGATTGGGAGGGTGGTGTGGGCATTTATGGTTAGGTGGTGATGGACGGTCGCTTTCTTGTATTTATCTTTGGGCGTTGGAATTTGGAATTGGAGGTGGGTGTACTGTAAAGGATTAGATGATAGTGATGAATTGACTACGTAGGATGAGATAAAGATGAGGTGATGTTGTTTCTCTTGCAGTGAGTTGTAGTGAGGGTCTTGGGAGTATGATAGCATGGACATACTACCTAAAGATGTCAGCTTCATACATTGGATTTATACACTTCTCGGCTTGCTCCTCGCGAACTTTTTATTTCTTGTTAAATTATCCACCATAATCAACATCGTGACCCCTCTGGGAGAATGGTGGACCTGAACGAGAGCTCGCGCTACCCGTTTGGTGGAAAGAAGGTGGAAACAGAGGAACGAGGATGAAGAAGAAGGGATAGAGTTGGAGGATGATGATAGCACTTGAATGCTGTGCAATATTTTCCCAAAGCAAGATTATGAGCCCGCAGAAGTTGGCCTTCAATGTGATTACCAGTCGTATATGAAGTTTACTACTTTCACTTAATTCTTGAATTATTAGGAGCTTGGATGGTGTCTTCAATTGCTTCAGAGTAGTCAATATTATCTTAGTGGATATCGATATCAATGAGACTCCTTACTCCCAATTTTCTTCTTCTGTTAAACGTCTACTACACAAATAGAACATTCGACACTCCTATACGTAAATTCTACATCCTAGTTGGACCGTTCCATTCTTGTGTGCACTAGTAATTGGTACGAGTATTACAGCTCATTTCTAGCTTGACTTCAAGAAGACGTTTAGTGGTTTCGCCAGAGTTCACAGGTGACCTAGCGCAATTTTTTCTTCTCTTACTTGACTTCATCTAAGCTCCAAGAAATCTGAAAGTTCACATAATCGTTTCCTGTAGAAAAGATCCTCGAGTACCTATGCTCTACTTATTCTTCTTCACGTGAAATGTAACAAGCAACGATGGAGATGGGTCAACATTAGTAGGCCTGCACTAGTGTACCTTTCGTACCCACACCAGAGTATTCCCGCTCCAATCAAATTCCAGAGAAACATGTGACATAGCTCGTATGCGAATGCTGATTGGATATCAACCCGCGTTACCCCACATTAAACCTACATATGACGCACAAATATTCAAGTATCCAAATAATCACAACCGCAAATAATAGCAACACACACAAAAAGCCCTCGTAGCTCAATGGTAGAGCGCGTCACTAGTACATCGCAAGATATGACGAGGTTGCCGGTTCGATTCCGTCCGAGGGCATTTTTTCTTTGCCGATTTAACATTACAGCTCTTTTTTTTTCAAGCCCTTTTCACTCAGACTTTGCACATAATCAATTAAGCTTCGTGACTATTACTACGATTTTCCAATCGCGGTAGTCTCCCCAAGTGTTCTACATGCATATCAAATGCTGGCTGCTAGGCACGGAAAGCATTATTGTTACAGCAAGACTGATTCTAGCACTTCTCCATGCCGTGTTAAACGAATCCCAAAAGTGAGGTTCGTAACCATGATTATGAACTTTCAGACTGCCCGATATGAGATCTATTCTATCTTTCTCTGGAATCTCAGGTTTTCTCGAATTTTTACATCATGAATTTGTCATTTGATCGGTATTCCTTGAGGAACACGTTACTCCAAAGCTTTGAATAGTACTATTAGATACTGCGAAGAGGAATCAAAAAATTATTAATACTCTATAAGAGTGTTTAGAAGAACGAGAAACCCCGTTTTCTTTTACTCTTGATAAAAATATCCGGTTCTCAGAAATAACCAGGAAAGATGTCATGAGAAAGCTCTGTAGTGGTTTTCGATTTCATACCTTAGCCTCCCACATGCTTGTGACAGGCCCAAGAAGGAAAGTAAGCCATGGTTTTACCGTCTTAACTTCCTGTGGTCATAAAACAAGTTCCCATACAGCAGAAGGAGAACGTAGAAAACGCACGTACTCCCCAAACAAAATACTCTCACATATACAAATAGAAGAACCACTTAAGAACATTTAGTTTTCTTTTCCTCCCCAAGTTCTGTTCCCTGGACGGCCTTCAATACCGTAATTCAAAGCCTTTCTTAGAAAGTAGAAACTAAAGACCGCAGCTGGTCAGCTCATGCCTTACTGTCATTGGTCAATGATAAATATGATGCAGAAATATCTTATACTTCGACAGTAACGAGGAAATCGACAGCAATTGTCTCACTCTTCCCAGAGAAAAGACCAATGATTTACCTGCAAACGGGAAAAAGTGATGCCGGCAAGAAAAACGGTCTCTACTAATAGGACTAATACCACCCAAGATTCTAGAAATTGTTGATTCAAATTTTTGTACGAAATCCTGTGGGGCTGCTGGATTCTGAGTGGGTATTCGCGACGTTAGGCTGAATTCCCAGCCTATAGACAACGGATATCTGTAAGTAATTGAATACCCAAATGCTGCACACAGGGTGATCAGATATTCTATGAAACTTATCCACCACACGTGAAGACTACTAAGATAAAGATACAGTTAAACTATCACCAACGTGTTTATTAACATCTAATTTATCAGATATCTCTTTTAGTGATTTACCTCATATCTCTACCTACCCTTTCCTCTCTTCGAGATGCCTTAGTATGATATACAGTTCTCTAGCTTAGCACGTCCTCATATTCTTCAGAAGCTTATAAGTTATAAAGATAAGTAGGCCCGAGCTATGGAAAGTCGTAGGCGCTAAAAGAGTATTATTATCACTATTGCCATTATACCATCTATGTAATTTTACAGTGATGTACTTCTGTGGGCAATGAATCAACCCGGAGAGAAGGGATACCATATATGCAGTTTTCTCCACTCACTCACTTGCCTATCACCCAGCCCCTAATTCCTAACAACCTCTTGGCCACACAATAAAACCATACATACGAGTAACCCCCACATCCAAAGACAATTTCAAGAAACCACACCAATCAACAACAAGTCAACAACAAGAAAATCAACCGTAAAAGAACCTTTAAGTCCCGCATTCCAATCACGAAACTCCTCCAGCTTCGCAATACCATACAAGTCCCCTAAACGGCCAGAACTCACCATTCGCCGCAATCTCTCTTCGAGAACTTCCCCCCTGCGAGACCTTTATTAACGATACGATGAAGCCAGAATTCTTTTCCGGGAGGCCAAACCTTCTGCGATTTCCATGGAGTGAGCTGGTCATGATGCTAATATAAGTCTGTAGGAGGCAGGTCCTACATACCACTCGTGACATAGAAGTAGTACTCCCAACAAACGATCGATCCATCATCCACCTCCCTTCCTAAAGCAAAGTGCTATGTAATACAAGGACGGAATTCACAGTACACAAAACATCATCAAGAAAGTTCACATCCCATCACACCACAATCAAACTCCCCAATGAAAAACTCTTTACGACAAACAGAAAAATCTCCGTTACTAATCTCCATTCAGATTGGCCCCACGCTATGCTAATCAACTTTTCTTTTATTTTGCCCCTCCATTTCATTTCTCTCCTTCATTCTCTCCGCAAAAACAATACACAAATGATCCACCCTCTAAACACGAGGCCCCGCGGACAAGAATAGGAGAAAGAAGCCGTAGTAGTGGAGATTATGATCCCATATGTGTGTATCTGTATCCCAGACAACGAGAAACCCTCATCTCGGTTCTGAGAATGTATGAAAGAGAAAAAAGTATCGCCATGCATGCCATGGGAAAAACGCCGTACCGAATGCATGCGGAATTATAGAAAAGAAAACATAAAAGAAACATGAACCTCAATTCGTACATCGACCTTTCCTGGTCTCATCCTATCCTCATCTCGTCCCTCGTCCAATTTTGGTATTCGAAAAAAAGAAAAAGAGTCGTGTCATCTACGCACGACGAGGTCTCTTGCCTTCATGACCTCTCGAATCCATTCCTCCCTCATCACCTCGTCGCTTTCTCCCACTATCATCTCCACGACTTCCACGGGTATCACGTCCCTCACCGCCTCTGCGATCATCGCCACGACTTGGACGATCCTCTCTGCTTCTTCCACCAACAGTTCTCTCAGAACCCCCTCTATCACCACTCCAAGGCACCTCATGCGGGTCTCTCACGACATCGCGTTCTCTACCATCACGACGCCCAGACTCTCGGTGGCTGTCTCGTTCACGACCACCATCTCGCGAACTACCACCAGGCTCTCTGCCAGTCACAAGATCCCGATGTGGCGAGCGACCTGGATGTCTTTCTCGTTCTGGATCTCGTTCAAGTCCACGATCACCACCTCTACGTTCACGGTGCTCACTTCTAGAAGGCCGTTCATCGTCAGCACCCGTACGCTTAGACTCACGAACACGATCCGGACTTCGCGAACTTCGACGACTGTGCCGACCAGGTCGTCTGCTGCTGCGTTGCTTTTCTCTGTCTTCGACAGGAGGAGCTTCATTATTGTCAAACAATTCAACACGGTCAGGAATTTGATCTCTTGGCCCTGGTCTTCCAGGAGGAGGCGGTGGGGGAATCATGCTATTAGGCGAAGCACTAATTGGAGATTCCTGCTGCATGCCACCTCTAACACCCCCACGGCCACGTACATTCATGCGATCTGGTTGTCCAGCTTGCTGAAGCATCGAGTTTATACCAGTAAGTTGTCTTCTTGCGCCACCGCCCCGTTGTTGTCGTTCGTTACTAGATGATGGGCCAGTTGGCGGCACCATACCATTTGAATTAGGGGTAATAGGACTCTGCTGTACCCCTTTTGGTCCAGAAGGCGGGGTAGCCGTATTTACCGCTGGCACTGGTGGTCTGTTTCGACCTCCGCTGCTGTGCATTTGATTTGGAGGTAGAGGCGGTCTGCTGTGTGGTTCACTGCCAAATGCAGCCTTCATTCTATCAGGATGCATGGGAGGAGTGGCTACTGGAGTCTGGGGGTTTGATCCGATGACTCTCATTCTGTCGGGATGTGTGTGCATCGCAGTTGAGGCAACTCCTACAGTGGGCGTACTTGGTGCAGAACCAGATTGAAGTGACACATTATCAAATTGACCTGATGCCGTTCGTCGCGAGTGACGACCTGATGCTGGACCAGTTGGCGGTTGCTTCTCTGGAGTTGGAGGTCGTGCAATTTGTTCTGGTTGAGCCCTAGCATCTCTTCCATCACTGCGAGCCGGGCCACTAATGTTGCGACTACCACGGAGATGTCTATCTCTTGGCCCAGAAGGTATGTCCTGAGGCGGTGCGGGATTCAGACGACCGAAACTAGGATCTTGTTGGGGTGCTGGATTCAGTCTTCCATGATTTGGGTCAACTGTGCGGGGATTTGGTGGAGATTGAAAGGCCCCAGATCTGTCATTTCGTTCAAGTGTTCTCTCGGAAGGTCTGTCATTGCGCGGACCAGCAGGAGGAGGTGGGATCTCGTCATTGCGGCCCCGAGAAGAGTGGTTATCTCCAGGCCCTGCGCGGCTTGGTCGATCATCACGTCTGCCGTCCAAGTGGTCGCGGTCGGATCCGTGACTTCTGGGTGGTGACTGAACTCGAGGCCCCCCTCTGTCTCTATCATCACGGTGTCGTCGTGGAGATTCTGAGCGAACATCGGAAGATATGAGTGCAGCGCGCTCAGGATTAATAAGGTCTGGAGAGACATGAGAAATTCTGTCAAGTCTGTCTGGGTTGATTGGTGGTGCACCACGATCTGCTGTGACTCCCAAAGCTCTAGGTGGAGGCATCCCATTCTCACGAGGCATCCTACCGTTGCCGTCGTTAGATCGACCAGAGTTGGCAGCTCTGTCGATATTGGCGTTGTCACGAGATGAATCGGGTGTCCAACGAGGCGGAGGATCAGGTCTTGTACGCTCACGGTCTGGTCCTGGAATCCTATCAGGCAGTCTTCCGAAATCTCTAGCACCAGGCTCACCACGTCGATCAATGCCATTGTATTCACGTGGGCGATCTCCAGGTCGATCCATTCGACCAGGACCCGGGTCTCTGATGTCTCTACGATCAGGGTGTTGTCGGTGTCGATCAAGAGACCGACCTGGGAAGGGAACTTCTGGTCGAGATGGTAGACTGAGTGGACCACGATCAGGCAATACCATGGAGTTATTAACTCTGGACGTATCAGGGCATGATAGAGCACTAGAATGAGATTGTGCCGCTGATTGAGCTTTTGCTGCATTCTCTCTCCGGATTCGTTCTCTTTGGATGAGAACTTCCGATCTCCCATCCTTGGGCTCCGGGGCAGCTTGCGGTGCTGGAGTTGTGGCCGTGGCATCAACAGCAGGTTTTGTAGCTTTAGCGCCAGCGGCAGCGTTCTTGGCATCATCTACTTCGCCATCTTCGACCTCTCCGAGCTTGGGGGTGGATATACTGGTGGGGCTGTAGATGATTAGTCTCGTCCAACGAGTTATCTTGTGAAAAATGAACTGACCTTGCTCGAGAAGGTTGAAACTCTGGTGCTGTAGGCTTCAACGTGGTTTTTGGTGTGGGAGCTTTTGCTTGTGAGGATGGCGTCGAGTTTCCATTTTGTCCTGGTACGCCCTGAAGTAATTTATTAGATTCGGTTTTGTTACGACGAACATGGCAGCTTACCATCGAATGTCCAAATGCCTGGACCAGCACCCAATTATCCATGCGCTTCTTCAACTGAACCAAAACAGCATTGCCAGTGAGTGCAAGATCCTCACGACGTCCCTTCTCCCGTGCCGCAATGGTCTCAAGCTGCTTGATAAAGCCTTGGCCCATGAAATCTATCATGGGGAATACATCTCCGACGGTTTTCAGTACAGTAATTGCATTTCGGATGTGCATCCATTCTGACCCATCCAAGCAGTCACGTAATGCACTATTCAAGGCCTTGTGCCACGCCAATAGGAGGTTCTTGAAGCTCACCGAATTGCTTTCTTCTCCTTCATACTCAAGTAAACCTTTTGGTGTTCCATCGCTGTTCATCGATTTCGCAAATCCAGGCAACGATTTAGTCTTGCCCCATGCTTGTTCTTCATAAAATGAAGCCTTGTTGTGCCAGAGCTGGAGATCAGAAAGTACAAGTTTGAGGAAGCGGCCTAGGTTCTCAGCCTCCCGAATACTACAAGTGAAAATGAGAGTTCGGAGACGGTTGGATTTGAAAATTCGCGAGTATAGAGAAAGTGTTCGGAAGTTTGGGATTCCTTGGTCGTGCAAAAACTTGATCAGGCGGAAGGCAAATTCAGCGTCTGTAGGCGACAAAAGAAGTCGTGGAATGATGCATTTCTCGAGAAACTCGTCGCTGATATCATCCGCTTTGGCGGTAGGTAAGAACCACTGGTTTTTGCCTTTTAGTAGTCTAGCTTTGATGGCGGGATAAGCAGCAATACCGGCGGTCATTTCTGCATGAATCGCCTCCCGATTTTGGCCTAATGTCTTTCGAAGTTCGTCTCTCTTTGCAATTCCCGCACGACTTCGATCGGAACTGTCAGTGATGGCGATTTTTTCTTGATGCTGAAGCTTCTTTAATTCTGCGTGATATAAAACATCAGGGGATCCCAAGTCGCTCAGAGTTGAACCCCAAAATTTGATATAAAAGTCGGGACTCATCGCGTTCCAGGTAGACTCGGGTAGGACTTGCTTGACGGATGTCAACAAAGGATTCATAATATCCCCGTATGCGTCAGACAGCGGACTCGGAGTTTCGTTGGTTGAGGCTGGAGGAGAGGAACTATCTGTCATTTGGACGTCGCCGTGGGTACTACCTTCTCCTTTCGAAGCTTCGCCGTTGATTTTGTCGCCAATCTCACTCATTCCCACATCTCCCTCAGCGTCAGTTTTTGAGCCTTGCTGGGGTTGTTGAGATTCAGTGTTATCACCATTCACAGCCGGTGCTGAGATGTGTGAAATACGGTACTTGAAACTTTTGCGACCGATCAAAAATGCAAGGCGAGGCTCGATGCCAAAATCTGTCAGCATCTGCGCAATCCCTGGGACCTGCTGGTCGAACTCATCATGGTCCAAGTTGCTGCTTAGCAGATCCAAGTACTGAAACAACATTAAATTGGTGTTATCAATCATGGTAGCCAGCATTTTGATATGAGCTTGCGAATCGGCGACCCCATAGATGGCCGATTGTCTGTGTTGGGCGATAGAGATCAATATTTGACCCGCAAGTCTTGTCTCCGTTAGAGCCTTGAGCAGTCTCTTGGCTGTCTTCTCAGATTGGTAACGTCTATCCTGGAGATTCGTCAGAGTCCATCGTCGAAGGGCTGGGCCACCTGTCACGGCTGCAAGCTGAGCATCGTTGAAGTCCGTATCTGGAACAACACCAGCCATTTGCCCAATGAGTTCCTGTAGAATAACCAAGTCGGTGGAGTTTCCATGGTAGAGCTGGTCGTTGACATAGTGGACAATGGGTGAAAGATTCATGATGGAGTATCGCTTGAACACTTTTCCAGTAAATCTCGACAGTGCCAAAAGCCATTTGCTTGGAAGGAGAGCAAACTCGGCATTGTTGCGGTTTCTATCCTTGCCTCCCAATGAACTCATGAGTGACCAGACAAGGACATCATATCCAAGATCAGTGAAATATCTAGCGCATTCAACGAATGTCTCTGTGAGATTGTCATACGCCTCGATCTGACCAAGGGCAACATTAAAAACAACACCGGGCGATGCATAAGCTATCTTCGCGAGTTGTCTGGCCATATGGGTTGTGTTGTCTTTGCTGATCCGTTTCATCGTGCTTTGAGTCTGAATCTTTGTGTGGGCAAAAGCCTTTTTCATGATTGGTAATCTTGAGATTTGTCCCTCATACCACTCGGCGTAAATCGAATATCTGATCGACACCGGATAGAATCTGAGCACGTCATAGACATCATTGACAACACCAGTATTGGCTTGTGTCATGCTGAGAGCTGGCACGAGCAGTCTCTTGAGAAGGTCTTGCCATCGTCCAAGATTTTGTGGAGAGTTGTCCTTCGTCAGACTCATGACACCGATTCTGGCGAGTTTAGAAAGCAGAGGAGCATCCTTGCCAATATTGATGCCTGAAAGGTTGAGAAGAGTACTGCAAAGTGTAAATACATCGTCTACGCTTTGGCAGACGGGAATGATATCTGGCCATTCTTCCCAATAGAATTTGTAAGCCAAGTTCTCACCAACATCATACTTTTCGGGGAACGGCCATCGTAGAAGGTTTCTAGGTGTAACTTGAGCCAGGCGAATTTGGCCTCTGGGCATGCCGCTTTGGTCGGGGTCGACATATTTTTTGGTGGTACAGTCAGAGGAAGATTGTGGTGATGTGGGACGACTCAATGCGTACATATCCTTGATTGAATAGTTTAAAAGGCGGTGGATAAGCGGAAGAATATCAGGATATAATTCGGGAATCCAAGGGAAGCGTCCCAGAATGAACAAGGACTCGGGAATAGCGCCGACTGTGAGAAGGCAAACCAGAAGTTGGATTTTCTGATCTGGGGGATCATCAACATCCTTCACCTCTGCCTCAGCGGTAGCTGGAGCGGCAGTGTCTGATTTCGTTGGAGCATCTCGTGTTCTGCCTCCATTTGGTAGAGTATCGTCAGCAAGAGCACCGGCCATGGTTAAGGCGTTAGCTGCACCACTAGGTCTCGTGAGCTTTTCTTTTTCAGCCAATTCCTTCTCCTTTGCTTCTCTGACCGCGGGCATATCTTCGTCCAATGGGTACAGATGAGGGTAGAGGTCTCTCAAGGAGATGAACCCGATTTTAATGAGTAAAGCAGCCAGATAAATCAAATTAGCCGGGAGACTTTCTCCTTTGTTGCGAGCACTCGAGGCGTAGTAGCGTAATTTGAAACCTAACAATTGGGCTGCAATCCGATTTCCAGAGGGTGGTAAGGTTCCGGTCTCCTCGATCCATTTTCGATCCGCATCCAACTCCGCTTCCGATTTTCCCTCCTTGTTGAGTATTCGGTTTTTACTGTCAGAATCAATCGCTTTTCTACCCCCAAGCTCGAAAAATGCATCCAGGCCAATTTCGCGAGCACGGTTCCAAAAGGCAGTATCTCTCAGGATTCGAGCTGATATGAACTTGTCGTCGTCAACACCTGGAGGCGAGACCGGTATATCAGAACCTGGTAACGCCCACTTTGGAAGTCCTTCCATATCTGTGACATTACTCTGCAGTGGGTTTTTAGGCCACCAGGAACTAACTCGAAGGAATTTGACGAAGAACTTGTATTGCTTGATCAAGAGCGCCGCAAAAACATCCAACGTGATATCCAGAACCCGACCAACATCAAGATCAAAAGTACCAATCAATCCTTTAACTCTCTCAAAGGCATCTTCGACGTGTTCGCTCGTTGCGTAGTCGAGAAATTGTGAGTTTCCTCCGCTAGCCGTGAAAAGCTCGGTTGCCAACTTCGAGTATCCCTCGCTTTCCTCTCGCAGTAAATTGTAGTTTGCCTGTCGATATAGAAGATGAGTCGCCTGTCGAATACCGACGCGAATGAAGGTATCTCTTGTAAGACCAAGATTTTGGAGGAGTTGTGCGTCAAGTATTTGGCGCAAAACATCATGGGATATACCGGTCGAGGCCGTGAATGGTCGCATAGCTGGATTGAAGGGCGGCGGTTCCGCATCGAAGATCATGGACAACGAGTCTAGAAAGAGTGTTTGCGCATCAAATGAGCCAGATGAACCTGCCGCAGGAGCAGCGTCTGGTGCTAGAATCTCCTTGACACAAGTTCCTCCATCCACAGCATCAATTCTGCCATCCAAGCTTGCTCGTGCAAGTTCTTGGAAGATTGAAGCCAGATCCATAGGGTCCTCATCTTGACGTGCCTGTCTGCCAGCTTCAATTACCTCTTGCCGGCCGCTTGTGCTCCAGGATGCAACTCGCTCATCGGTGACAAAGTCATAATCGAAGGGAGCAACATCGCGCTTTACCACGGGACTGGGGACTTCGTAGGCCGCGGTGGTTGGAGTTTGTGCAGCACTGCCAGTTCTCGTCGGCGGAGACATCGGTCCTGGTGTTGGTGTTGCTCTGGCAGAGACCGTGAGCTTATTGGGGTTGTTGCGATCATCATTCCTACTGCGCCCGCCTCGACCTCCTTGCCCTCCCCTGCTTGATCTTCTGTTTCCACCGTCGCGCATCATTTCTGAGTGTCGGCCTAGATTGGTAGTATCGGGTCGATGGGGAGAGGGTCGACCGTCGCCCATGTCACCCGTTCGCTTTCGTTTCACAGGAGCCATCTCCACCACTATCGTCGATTGGTATTAAGTTCTGCGCATACGCGTATGAGTCCAGCTCGCAAGCGTGCCGGAGAAGAAGAGTGCACTGGATGATTTTTGGGTGGTGTCGCGATGCGTAGAGTCGAATGGTGGATGGGTAGAAATGGCGGGTTGAGAAAATCAGAATGCAACAGAGAGCAGCGAGGGTCGAAAAGAAATAGCTGGCTGGGAGGAAAGCCAATGGCGACGGACAGTCTGAAGGTGAAGTCGCGTTTGTCCTTTGACAAATAGTTCGCTCCTCATATGTCAGGTTCCGTGGCCAGGTTCCAAGGTTGAGGCTGCAGTGAATTGCCCACGCTCGTTCTTGGGGTTCTTGGGCTGACGGAGGTTGGCTTGACAAGGCTCCGAGCAGCTCCGAGGGGCTCCGACTAATTCTCCGATATACCCCACAGCTGCTCTTTCGCTACGCCGACACTCGCCGGCGTGCCAGGGTTCAGCCGTTTGTTTGAATAACTCCATATGACTGGATCCTGATGACGTTGGTCATCCCGTACTCGTAGGCTAGTCGCGCTTTGAGATTTCAGAGCCCGAGAGAGCCAGACACCGCTCTTAAATGTATAAATCGACTGGATTTCTGCATCAATTCCTCAGCGGAAAGTTGCGAATATCCCCGGGCTATGGTTATGGCTATGGCTACAATGGATCCGAATCATGAAAAGGCGGGATCCAATGGGACCAAGCCTGCAAGCTACGGTCAGTCACACTCCAGCGAGATTGCTCACTATCCCTCCTCCAACCCATCGCATCGCATCGCATAGACAAGAACAAGAACGACCACTGAATACGTCCAAGAAAGAACGCACCAACAACCCGAGAATCCTTTCGCATCTCTAATCCCCAACCAAACCTTTGCCATCATCCCATCTTTTACTCTCGAATCCGGCGTCACTCTACGAAATGTGCCATTGGCATACAGCACCAGAGGCAAGCTCTCTCCAAATGGTGACAATGCGATGGTCATCTGCCATGCCTTAACCGGCAGCGCAGACGTGAGCGATTGGTGGGGTCCACTACTTGGAGGCGAGGGTCGCGCATTTGACATCTCGAGATTCTACGTCGTCTGTATGAATAGTCTGGGTAGTCCATATGGTACCGCCAGTCCAGTGACAGGTCGTGATGGGACCCCGCAAGGTGGCAGATACGGTCCGGAGTTTCCTCTGACTACCATTAGAGACGATGTCAAGTATGGCTCTACGCTACTTAAGCTTCCACACCAACTAACGATAATCTAGCCTGCATAAACTGCTGCTGGACGATTTGGGTGTCAAGCAGGTTGCCGCCGTTATCGGAGGGTCGATGGGTGGGATGTTGGTATTGGAATGGGCATACTTTGGCAAAGACTATGTGAGATCAATTGTGCCAATTGCAACCTCAAGTCGGCATAGTGCTTGGGGTATTAGTTGGGGCGAGGCACAACGACAGAGTATATACGCGGATCCAAAATACGACGATGGATACTATCCCTTTTCCGACCCTCCTGTCACCGGCCTGGGAGCGGCACGTATGTCTGCTTTGCTCACATATCGAAGTCGCAACTCTTTTGAAGCAAGATTTGGTCGAAATATCCCCGATGCATCCAAGAAGCAGTCGATAGGCGACCAACAACGACCTTCGACGCCCTCTGAAGAACATGTGGCCATACATAACGATGGTCATCGTTCCACACGATCTCCCATTTCTCGAACAGCCAGCCCAACTTCGATTTCCACTAAACCAAATACCAATGGTGCTGATTCTTCAAAGTTTGCCGATCCTCAATTTCATGGTGCGAAATCCGAAACACCCTCCGAGAAGTCTATCACAAAAGAGACGAAGAGAGGAACATCGACCTATTTCTCCGCACAATCCTATCTTCGCTATCAAGGAGAGAAGTTTGTGAAACGCTTCGATAGTAACTGTTATATTGCTATTACTCGCAAACTAGATACCCACGATGTGTCACGATACCGGGTCTCTGCCGATTCCGAAAATCCCATCACCGAAGCTCTTAGCCAAATCCAACAGCCAACCTTGGTACTAGGAATTGAAAGCGATGGACTCTTCACATTTGACGAGCAAAAGGAAATCGCAGCTTCCATCCCGAATGCGCGTTTGCGTAAGATTGATTCTCCAGAAGGTCACGATGCCTTCCTGCTGCAATTTGAGCAAGTCAATAGCCACATCTTGGAGTTTCTGGCCGATGTCCTACCCGATATCATGGGTGCGCCTGGGATCGAGGGTGCGGAGGAGGAAGATTCAAAGGCAGGTGATGCAGCGAAGACAAGTGTCGTCTCTGAGGTAGATGATATCACGGCATGGTAGAAGTAAGCAGTTCCAAGATACTGTATTAAAGATCACCCGAAGTAAATATCACAAGAAGATCGTATTGTTTCCAACCTTCTCTACAAAATTTTACATCTCAATTTAGTATAAGTAAAAGTACTAGCACGAGTACTACAGTAAAGCAAACGGGTGCTACAGCAGAATCCGTTGGAGATCAGACGGGTCACGGAATAGGATAGGACGCCATGCGTTCAGCTTCCCGAAAGTGGTAAATGATGTTGACGTACATACCATGACTGTTTCTACAGTATGACGCAAGCTCCGTGCTGTTCCGTGCTGTTCGGTTCCGTTCGGTACATACGTATAGCATAGCCCTATAGGGCAACGCTACGAGTACGAATACCTACCGTACCGTTTTTGTGTGTGTACAGTATGTGTATGTATGTGTGTATGTTCCTGTGTGCAATGTCGGATTGGATCTAGGGATCCCGCTGTAGGTACAGTACTCGTAACGGGGTCTTGTGGAAGTCGGTCAGGTGCAGTGTTGGAATGTTATGTGTAGATGTAGATGGACTCTCAGGTACTTTCAAGGGAGGGCAGGGGATGGGAGGGAACAGGAGGGGAGGTGAGAGTGGACGAACTATCAGAAGTTTCTGAGTTCTTGAACTCCTGTTCGTACTAGCAGCTGTACCTTGCCCTAGCTCTTGTTGGGTGTTGGACTGGGAGCTGGGAAGTTCCACTTGATTGGAGTAGGGGGTTAAGGGTTGCTTTACCTACTTGAGAACTTTGAAGTACGAAGTACGGTCTGGTTAGATTGGCTAGATTCTCTGGGTAGGTTGATTTGATAGATAGATAGATAGATAGATAGATAGTTACCTAGCAGGATATCTATCTACAACCTCGATTACAATTTGCTTGTTTCTTATACATACATACATACATACATACATACATACATACATACATACATACATACATACATACATACATAAATATACGAGGACATACTTTGAGGCTGTGTACCGCCCCCTCCCCCTCCTCCTACTGTGAGTTTGTGAGTTCGATAAGTAGATAGAGGAAATAGATAGATGACGTAATTTTAAATTCGATTTTGAATTCGATTTTGGATTAGTTAAGAACTAGTTTCTACGGTAGGTACTTTATTAGAGTACTCGAGTACGGACGGGATTTCTCTCGCTGGTTTATATACTTTTATTTTCTACTTCATGTAAGATTACCTACGGTATACGAAGTACGGCCGGTATAGAAGTTTCATATATATGAGAGTTCGATACTATCCATGTTGTTTAATAGGCATCGACTTGATAGCTAGGTATACCGGAAACTCAAAGAATTGAGGTTTCGATTTGGATTTGGATTTTCGGTCAGTCTTTTTTAGGGACTAGTTGAGCGAGGGCTTGAGAGTTTCGAGAGTTTCGAGGGAGGACGAAAAATGATGTTCATCTCGTGTTTTAACGTTATATCATATCATATCATATCGATAAACCAGATACTTTAGTATGATCAAGATTCGAGATAACTTAGATAAGCTGATGTGATGTGATGGGATGTGATGAAATTTTCAAGTTATAACTTATAACTTATAGAGAAACTTATTTGGATACTTCGTCCCAGACATTTAGGTACTGAAATAATTATAACTTTTACATATGTTTCAACCCCGTTCTTCACTAAAGCTACCTACCCTTGGGAAGTTATAATTAATTATAGTACGTCTGGGATGAAGTATCTAGATTGGTAGATTATGATAAGAGAGAGAGGGGGGGGGGAGAGGGTTGGTGTTACGATACCTAGGTAATTAGTCCCGTGGGGGTTTGATGCATGTGAACCTGGAATGGGTCGGGTAATTCCCAGATGGTTCACGTGGGTTGTTGGGATAGATAGAAGATTGTTTTATTTCGGATTATTTTTATTTTTGGAGAGCCTTTTCTTCTTCTTCTTCTTCTTCTTCTTCTTCTTTGTTGGAGATGATAGATTTGTTAAAGAACAACCGATTAATGTGAAAGAGAGATCTCATTTGTACTTGTACTTAAGTACTGGCTGCGGTATTTGGATGCGTCTATGGATCGATTAAGGTGGCTTGCTATCAGTAGAAAAGAGAAAAGGTTCCTTCACGGAAAATACCCAGCTCCCTCTCCCTCTATCTCCTCCATCCTCCATCCTGCCTGTACCTAGGTAGAAAACCCACTTCCAACAGAAATCCTCTCCTTCCAAAAAACAAACTCCTTCAGCTATCATCCTCAAACATTTCAAGACCCTCGGACAAAATCACATCATCCCCAGAAACTCAAGGAAATTACGCGAAAGAAAAGGGGTAGCATACCATCGATCTTCTCTCTCTCTCCCTACGGTTACCTGAACTTTGAGGCTCAATAATAAGACATCGGAACCCTTTTTTTTTTCTGGTACGTGCTGTACATGTATGGATGTGAGTCTCCATGTCTTGTCTCAAGGTGTGTTATGTTGTGTTGTGGTCTTATCGCTCTAATCTCGTCTTTTTCCTCGCATCGCTTTTCTGGATTTAGATTGATTTGGAAGTATAAAAATTTCCTTTCTTTTTGAATTTGGATTTGTTTTTGTTTTTGTTTTTTTTTGGTTACCTTTGAAGGGAAAGTCAAATCTTTTTTGTTGTTGATGCTGATGCTGGGATGGTACTGTATTATACCTAGTGGGCTGGCGCTGGCTGTAAATTTACCTAGCCCTGCCCGTTTGCGAGGTTCCTGAGATGGGGCTTGGCGGGGGTTCGGAGAGGTCTTGATTCTGAAACTGTGCTGGCTCCCGATCGAGGGTCGCTGTATCGGTGCCGTCGAGTAGACTTGGATAAGGGATCTTCTCATTCATCTTCTGGCTCTTGGAGAGGCAGGTGGCATCTGGGATCGTGTTGATAAGGCATATGTCGGAAGGTTCTTGGTATGGACGGACTGGTAACCTAACGGTCACGGTACGATAGCGGTAGGATGGAATTAGCACTAGAGTTCGGTTCGTGTACCTCCCGAGGAATATTCATGGGATGGTGAAGTTTACGCCTCCGTAAAGCTACCTACGCATCAGTCTCATCTTACTTTCCATTGCTATAATTTTAGATTTTAGACACGCGGATTAGGATTAGGCACTCGGTACGTGGTTCTGCGTTCTGCGTTCAGCATGCCATTTCTGTACTGTACTGTACTGTACTGTACTGTACTGTACTGTACTGTACTGTACTGTCGTCGTACTCTGGGCGGCGCGGACCGCGTGGTTCTGTTCTGTATACGGTAGCACCCAATGATGAATAGCTGTGTACGCAAGCAACGGAATTGTTATTGCTATTGTGGCTACGTGTCGACCAATGCCGCAATTTGGGAGGCTCCGTGTGAATCTGACGAGAGATCTGGTCATCTGTGGGAGAGGCAGGGTGCTGTGAGTACTTGCGAGTATGCTATTTCTACAGTAGGTAGGCTGTATGCTACTGTATGCTACACCATGCTACTGTATGCTACACCATGCTACACCATGCTACACCATGCTACACCATGCTACACCATGCTCCTCTCCTGTATGCCCACTCGAATCTGCTGCAAGTAAGCTCGCCCACTCGAGGTCTGCTAGGCACTTAGGCACCTAGGCAACTAAAACCGAAGGTACGAAACTCTACAAGCCTTTTGCTTACCTAGCTAGGCCTAGTTCCCCTCGACAGACTAATTTAGTAATTGCGTAATGGACCCCCTCGACCTCCACATGCGAACTGCCCACTGCAAACTGCCCACTGCAAACTGCCCATTGCCAACGGCCCATTGCCCAGTCGGCAACGGTAAGAGCTACAGGTAAATTACAGCTACAGTACAGCTACAGTACAGCTATCAGCCCTTTCCCCTTCCTTCCTCCCAGCTCATCCAAGGTAATCAATCTCCCTCGTCTTGCTCGTCCCCTCGTCTCTCGTCCCCTCGTCCCCTCGTCCCCTCGTCCCCTCGTCCCCTCGTCCTTTCCTCAGGCTCTATTCTAGCTCTAGCACAGGCACTGGTTCTGGCTCTGGCTCTGGCTCTGGCTCTGGCTCTGGTTTCAGCAGAATAAGTTTTTGTTGATCGTTGCTTCCCCGTAAATCTTACTTCGAGAAAACATCCTTTTATGGCACTTTCCGTACGGCCCCTGGTACCGACTTTGAGCCTCTCCTTGCCTCTCCTTTCCTCTCGCCGAGTTCTATAAGACGAGCTCGCTTTTCCTGTGTTTCTCGTCTAGACACCTTCTTTTCTGCAATTCCCCTCATCCACCCCTGCTTCATCTTCGACCGGTTGCCTCATTCGACATCGACAGCCCCCTTCACCATGGAGTCGATCATGCTACCTTCGCCCGTGGACGTCCTTCACCACACCTCGCCAGTGCAGGAAAAAGAAGCCCTCTCCTCCAAGAACCAGACACGTCTCTCCTCCTCCATCTCGTCGGCCTGCGAAAACTCGTGCAATTGGGGGAGAAGAAACCGTCATGGCTCGTGGCTGCACTCACTGGGTTGTCTAGGCGTGATGTGTCTGGCACCACTGCTGGTCATCTTCTACTTCATCACCCTCAACCACTTCCACGGATCCATCTCACTCTCCTCCAAACTGCTCCTCGAGATCGGTCCGCTCTCCTTCTTCCACGTCTACTTCCCACAGGTCTCATCCAAAGCGACGTTCGGTTATACCGTCTGGTATCTCTTCCAGGTCGCCCTCTACTTGGGCCTTCCTGGTCAAATCAGCACAGGCCAACTCACTCCCGCCGGCAACCTTTTGAAGTATAAAACGAATGGTCTGTCCGCTTGGATCGTCACCCATGTTCTGTTCTTGGGGCTAAGCTGGATTGGCATCTTGGACCCGGCCATTTTGGCGAAGAATTGGGAGGGCCTGGTGGTCGCCGCCAACGTGTGGGGTTTTATCTTGACAGGGATTGCGTTCTTGAAGGCTTGTTACTTTCCAACCCATGAACGAGACCGAAAGTTCAGTGGTGAGTGATGAATCCCAACAGTTTTCCCCTTTTTGGCGGTGGTAAAAGGGGTTGGAAAAGAAAACGCGAGTTTTGCGGCTAATTCGTGCAAATAGGTTCCAGGATCTATGACATGTACATGGGGATTGAGCTCAACCCTAGAATTGGGGATAAGTTCGATTTCAAACTTTTCACCAATGGCCGGCCTGGAATAGTTGCTTGGACTCTGATGTAAGTTTCTCAACACTTCCTAATTTCTTATTCAGTTTGACGTTTCCCTGCAACCAATTCTCCTCTCATTTCGGGCCATATCTTCGTATCAGCGAATTCCACGGAATTCGGATCATAATTCTACGGATCCCAAATTAGATGAGGTCCCGTTTTTACTTGGCTTCAATCCTTATCGCCGTCGTTTTGGTAGCGATATATCAAAAATGATACATCACGTGTTCTGGCCTTTTTGATGCCTAATTCTCACAAGAATGTTGCAATCGAAACATCCGTTTTGACAACACGATTTCACGTCTGAGAGAGTTCTCTTTGCAGGGGTTCAGGACCTCAAAGAGCCCTCGAAAAATGAAGATTTACAACAAACCTCTAAAACACCACTAACGCTCATCTAGTGATTTCTCCTTCATCGCCTACCAATATCAACTCCACGGCTACATCACCAACTCAATCTTGATCTCCACCCTCCTTCACACTTTCTACGTTGTCGACTTTTTCATCAATGAGGATTGGTACCTCCGAACAATTGATATTTGCCACGATCATTTCGGCTTCTACCTCGCCTGGGGTTCCTCCATCTGGCTCCCATTCATGTACACCCTCCAAACTCAATACCTCGCCCAAAACCCTTACTCTCTTTCCACTCCTCTTGCAACTCTCATCACGCTCCTCGGTCTTTCCGGTTACGTCCTATTCCGTTGCGTCAATCACCAAAAAGATCTCGCGAGACGCACTCGTGGTGATTGTAAGATCTGGGGTAAGCCAGCGAAGATCTTGACAGTGAGATATAAGACCAAGGATGGGGAGGAGCATCAGAGCTTGCTGCTAGTGAGTGGATTTTGGGGGTGGGCCAGACATGTGAATTATGCTGGAGATTTGGTGTTGAGTGCTATGATGTGTGCTGCTGCGGGTGGTGGAGGTGATTTGTTACCTTGGACTTATTTGATTTTTATGGGGGTATTACTGGTACACAGATGCTGGAGGGATGAGGAGAGGTGTAGGGAGAAGTACGGACCTGGATGGATTGACTATTGCAAGACGGTTAGATGGGTTATATTTCCCGGGATATATTAGGCGCTTTCATTAGAAGAGGAGAAAGAAACAGGGGCTGGACTGGTCTGGATTGAATATGGGGGTTTATGGATAGCGTGTGGTATGGCTTTTTTGTGGTATCATCCACGTTCTTATTGGGTTATGAGATGAAGAAAAGAATCTCTAGATAGTGTTTTTGGGTGGGTGGGTAAGTAAGGGACCTATTCATTCGTGTTCTGCTGTAAAACTGGAGAGAGAGAGAGAGAGAGAGAGAGAGATAGAGATGTATAGATACTGTATTTTTGTTTTTGATTCTGTTTTTTGGATGATGATAATGGCGTGATTGATTGATTGTGTTCCTTGTTTTTATAATGTAGGTTGGTTGACGGTTGGTGGTTTTATGTGTATCAAGGCAGTTCATATAGACCAAGTTAGCAATGAAACCTTGTTTTTTTTTTCACTTCGGATTATTTAATTTGTACGAATATTTGGATTTATACATTATACGAGTAGGGTCTAAAGCTAAAGGTAACTAGGTAGAACAAGGATCTCAATATTTTCGATTCCGACTTTTGATATTAGGTAACAGCGTAAGAAAGAAAGAAATACTCAGCTAATTAAGTATTGTATACACGAGTAGTCAGATTACTGGAGTTACTGTAAGTTGAAACTTGAATGAGTAGGTACTGTATGATTAGGTGATTCCATTGAGATGAGATGAGATGAGTTTGAGTTTGAGTTTGAGTTTGAGTTTGAGTAGTGGATTCAACTACGAGTACTGAAACTTAAGTAGTACTCGAGTAGTTCGTGATATGGAACGTGACTAGGTACTCTATGATACAAGAAAATAGTATATGTATATGCCTGGCCCGGATATAGGGGTCCTGGGCGAGGCGAGGCGAGACTTGTTTAGAGGAGGGATATTGGTATCCTAGCTAGATATATAAGGGTGAGGTCGGCCTGAGTAGTTTGACGAGTTGGGTTGAGTTGAGTAGGTGGTGGTATGTATACTACTCTACTTCAGTCAACTCAAATCATTTCTCACGCTATGTACTGTGACAGTGTGTGAGGTGAGATGCGTGGAAGGTGTGATGTTGAGGATTTGGAAATGTGGGAATGGTTAGGGATAATTACTTTAATTTACTTTTTTCCCCTTCTTTTTTGGAGGAGAGCTCAAATTATTCCCTCGGATGCTTACTTTCCTCTCCGTATTACATTTGCTGTAAGATACACATACATTGGAAAGATTCTCAAACCTTTGAAATACAAACCCTACCCTACCTAGTACCTACTCATACATCCCCCCCTCCCCCTCAAACATACAATACCCCCCTAAACAGCCTTCTCCCTCAACCCACTCAACCTCTCAAACCGATCAACACTCATAACAAACGTCCCCCGTCCCCCCGTCAAACTCCTAAGATGCCTCAAATACCCCACCATCTCCTTCAACGGCACCCTGGCCGTAACCTGTCTCAATTGCCCGGGTCCCTCCTTTCCATCCCCAGAACCCGATGCAAAAGGGTCAGGCGGTGCATAAACCCTTTTCACATCAATGATCCCCACTTCCGAGTCGTTCCCCTCGTTCTCAAGGGAGAGCACGTGGCCGCCCCGCGCGGAAGAGATGTCGTGTACGATGGCGCCGAGGGAACCTTCGTTGCAGGAGATGAGGACGTTCATTACGGGCTCCATGAGCCCGATGTTGGAGGTGTTGTGGAGTTGTGTGAGGGTTGCGGTTACGGCGAGGCGGGCGGCGGAGGAGATTGCTGCGGGTGTTGTGTCCGCGCCGAAGATGTCGGTTGAGGGGTTGAAAAGGAGCGTTATGTGGCTTGTGTGGAGGGGGAAATTGCGTCGGGGACCTCGAGCTAGGGCTGCTACGGCGCCGTTTATTAGAGCGGTGCGGATGGTAGGGAGTGGGAGGGAGGGAGGGAGGGAGGAGCTTCCTAAAGGTCCGTCGGAGGGGTTGGAACCGGGGATTTGGAGGGTGATGTGGTTCCCGTCTTGTTCGATGGTGGAGTCTGGTTTGGGAGGGGCGAGCTCATCGTAGGGTTCGATGGTTGCGGTGCATGCTGCTTTACCTTTCTTTCCGGCTACTTCGCGGTCGAAGAGGATGGATTGGGGTGAGGATGGGGCGAGGACACATTCTCGGTAGCTGATTTCGATGTTGCCCATTGTGGCTTTGGCTTTGAAGTCGTTGACTAGTCGGTCTCGCGCGATTTCGAGATGGAGTTCGCCCATGCCGCTTAGTAGCATTTGACCTGATTCATCGTCGATATTGACGTGAAGACTTGGATCTTCTCGAAGTAACATTTGTAGAACTTCTCGAACATTTCGCTCTTCACTAAGGCTATGCGGTTCGATAGCAGCGAAGAAGACGGGAGGCGGGACATCGATGGGACGTAGCTGGAGAGTGTTTAGTGGTGCTGGGGGCCCTGATTTGGGATTAGTTCCTGAATATGAGATTAAAGTATCTCCAGTTCGAGCGTGTTTTAGTCCGGATATAACACCAATCTGCCCAGCGGGTATGTGCTGGATCTCTACGGCATCCGAAGCTTGCATCTGCAGGAGTCGTTGAGCTCGCTCGGTAACGTGTAAATTTGTGTTCCATATGTTTGAATTTCGCTTAATGGACCCGGAATACACACGTATGTAAACCAGAACACCACGCTTCGGGTCGTTGACGACTTTGAAAGCTAACGCGCAAGATTCTATCTGTGTTACCAAGCTTTTTGAGGAGTGCGTCTGTTTTGCTACTTGTCTGTCGCCTGGTGTGGATAGCGAAACACGACCATCAAGCAAGTCTGACAGTGAGCATTCTTGATCACCTAGACTGATTTCTGGGTCTGGTCTTTCTGTTGGATCGGGTAGGTAATCGTCGATTGCATCGAGAAGAGGCTGAACACCAATATTTCGGAAACTGGCTCCAGCGAAGACTGGAATCAGTCGCCCCGAGCCGTCGATAATGCATTTTCTGATACTATCTCGGATTGCTTGCGCAGGAATTTTCAACACATCGTCGTTGTATTCCAACCATGTAGATAACAGGTCTTCATCAAATTCGCAAAGAGATTCCACCAAAGCAATTCGTGCCTTGACAAGTTCATCTCGTAGACCAGGATCCTTTTTCGATAAAGCGTCCAAATCATATGTTTGAATGAGTTTACCATCGCCTCCTTCTGACCATTCTAAGCCAGAAAGATTGATGGCATCTCCCACACCGGTGAAATGGCCTTTCCCACCAGCCCACCAAGGAATCTGGCATACAGCTGGCCATCCACGGAGTCGTGAAGCAACTTCTTTGACAGTCCTTTCAAACGCAGCGCCATCTCTGTCAAGTTTATTGACAAAGGCAATTCTCGGAATACTATACTTGTTGGCCTGGGCCCAAACCTTCTCAGTTTGTGCCTCGACACCAGCCACACCATCAAGAATGCAGATAGCGCCATCCAAAATTCTCAATGATCTCAGAACCTCGAACGTGAAGTCTGCGTGACCAGGGGTGTCAATGAGATTGACCGTATGTGACACATGGGACCTCGGCGAATTGCCTTTGCTGGATGCTCCTGCTCCCAATGGGGGCCAATGGAAAGTCACAGCAGCCGATTGAATGGTGATTCCACGAGCTCGCTCTGCTGGGAGGAAGTCGGTTACGGTGGAACCATCGTCGACATCTAGGTTAATGCTTAGCTTGAGTGTTGTGAGGATTGAATATGGAAATGAGTTAGAATGAGAGAGGAAATTGAAGACTAAATTTCATAGAATTTGACATGATAGGACAAGTTGGAAATAGAAAAACATGACGAGGTTGATTTGAGAAGGTTTCAAGTATTGATATAGTACCTCCTATTCGACGTGTGTAGCCACTGTAATAGAGCATGCGCTCTGTGGTGGTAGTTTTTCCCTATTCGAATCATCAGAAAGTCAATTTATGTTCAAATCCAATCAACTCACGGCATCAATGTGTGCTATGATTCCAATATTCCTTGTTCTTTTCACATCTGGCTCATGCTGTAGACTGCTTGATTGCCGAAGCCAGATATTTGAGCAAAATTGACCTCTGCGGCGAATGATGAGAGATTTGAAGCTTGGTTGCCATATCAAGCAACCCTTTCTCATAACTAGCGAACTCATCGCTTAGTAGTCGGCCGACTTTTGAGTTGTTGGTGTTGACGAGAGGTCACCAAAGAGCGCAGAGCGGCACCCGCTCGGTGGCTGAATTTTGGTGTGTTTTTCTTGCCCCCAAAAATACTCGTAATGACAAATCATAGGACCATCAAAAGGAAATTATTGAGATACTGGAAGATTCTCGTATCTGATGCCATTCGGAGCTGTCGATAGCACGCAATGAAAACAATTGGTGTCGGATGCTTCTATGCCGCTTAGAGAATGGCATCGCCTGTTTTTATGCCAAGCCTTTTCTGATAGCCACATCCACAGCCACAGCCACAGCCACAGCCACAGCCTGCCACCCGCTGTTGTGTAAGGGTGGTTTGATTAAAGACTCAGCTACGGGTGCCTAGGGCATAGATATACCCGGAAAGTTAACTAATCTAACTAGTCCGATTTAGGCCTTAACAACTATCTCCTCCAAAGGACAGATAGTTATTATAACTATGGATAACTAGCTATAATCCTACTATTCTATAAATCTTCTTAATAGCTATACTATAGTAGTTTTATTCTCTTAGATAATATTAGAGAATTTCTAATAATACCTATAATAATATTTTCTTTTAAACCTTTAGTTAGTAAATAAATAAATATATACCTAAGTAATATAAACTCTATAATCTTATAATTACTATTCTCCTTTACAAAAAAACTTTCTCTCTTCTATTATTCTATCTCTAATAAATATATATTACTTAACTATTAATATTTAGTTATTTCTTACTTATATACTATTATAAGTCTTTATATTAAACTTTTCTAAGTTATCTCTGTTAGTCCTAGAAGAAGAAGTATTTATATTAAAGGTAAACTATTTATTATTATAGTTTTTTAGTACCTATATCTTATTCTCTTTCTCTAATAAAGTACTATTTATACCTTTCTTAGTCTCCTCTTCTAGTTAGTTTTACTTTCTCTTCTTTGCTATAGTAATAGAGCTTTTAGTTATAGCTCTCTTCTTCTATCCCTTCTCTAAGTTATAAACCTAAGTTAAGAATCTCTTAAAATTAGTTAGGTTATAAGTCTCTAGTAACTACTTCTCCATATCCGAATAGTATTTATTTATAGCTTTTTGTTCTATAGCCTTTAGACTAGCGATCTACTCTTTATACTCTATAATTAGATCTCTTAAGTTATTATCTCTTATAGTACTAGCTCTCTTAAAGAAATCCTTATCTACTTGAACTCTCTTCTTCTACGAATTATATATACTCTTTATCTAAGTCTTATATATATTTTTATAAACCTAACTTACTACTTATATTACTTTAATAAGTCGGTTATTATTTATAGCTAGTACCTTTTAAGCTTCCTTAATCTCTTTATATATAGTACTTACATAAGCTTTTCTCCTTCTACTATTACTAGTAAAGGTACTACTTATACTTAAGCTAAAGGTAATAGTTAGTACTAACTTACCTACTACTACTTTTAATACTATAGTAAACTATCTATTTTTATCTTAGAAACTTTATATATATTTTAGGTATATTCTTAACTCTCCTCTAATAATAAATAGGTCTAGGAACTTTCTATAGAGCTCTATTTTTATAAAATCTTTTATAAGTATATCTAGCTTTTTTTTATAAAAGAACTACCGTTTCTAAAGCTTTCTTATTCTTCTTAAATAATCTAATACATTTCCTAGTAATTCTTTCTTAGGTATTAAAGACCTTTATAGCTTATAGCTTTCTCTTTCTTACTAGTAAGTTAATTAGTATTACTTTCTATTAATCTATTAAATATATCCTATTCTCTTTAGGAAGTAAATAAGCTCCTAGTATATAACTATTTATTAGAACTAGGCTTATTAGCGAGTCTTTATTTCCTAAATCTAAAATTTAGTTTTTATTAATTTTACTAGTTATACTTAGAGGTTTGTTTTTACTATTCTTATTATTAGTCTTTTTATCCGCCCTTCTTAACTTTAGAATAGCTTTCTTTAGAGAGGCATTACTAATATTTACTGTATTTTTTTCTCTTATCTTCTTTATAAGTACTTTTCTAATAATATTCTTAGGTATTATAAGCAATTCCTTATTTAGAGTATCTATCTCCTCTTTACTTACTTATTCGGCAAATATTACGTTTATTATAGCCTTGTAGCCTACTCTCTTTATAACGTCCTCCTACTTAGGTTCTAGACGCTTTATTTCCTTTAACTACTACTTTATATCTATTACCTAATCCTCCTTCTTATTACTAAACCCTATATTATTAGAGCTCTCTATATTAACTATAGGGTTATAATTTAAGTCCCTTTCTAAACTCTTATCTATACCGCCTTTGTTTATAAGCTTTCTACCTTCTAGTACCTAAGGTTCATAACTCTAAAACATCTTTTTATAAAAAGCCTTAAGATTGAACTTAGCTTTTAATAACTTCTAGATTACTATAGTTTTTAGCTTATAGTTATCTATCTTAATACTATCTTAAGAATATACTCTTTTTATCTTATAGTAGTTCTTATAATCCTTTTAGACGTCTATTATATCTCTATAGACTTTCTTTCTCTAGAATATATAGCGATTACGCTTATATAAGAATGGACTTATTAGAAGTTTTATTAGAACCTTCTTAACTCTATCTTTAATAAGTTCGAAAAGTCGTTTTTACTTAGCTATAAGGTCTAGCTATTTATAAATATTAGACTAACCTAAGTTTCCTTTAAGAAAGTCTAGGGCCTCTATAGTCTAGGCTACTAATATTATATATATAACCTAACTACCTGCTTTAGATTCTATAGCTATATATCTTAGCTATTTACTTATATTAAGAAGTTCTACTTTAAAATATAAGATCTATTTATAGATTATCTTCTCCTTTTACTAGACTTCTATATTTCTAAAGTTTTTAAATACCTTAACTATCTTACTTCCCTTATAATTCTAAAAGTATAGCTATATATAAATATATTCTAGCTTAATAACTTAGTTTATAACTACCATTCTTATATTAGTAACCTTATTTATATACTAAGTAGGTATAGGCGATTTCGGAATTAGTCTAGCTCTCTACTTAGTAAAGATAGGTTTTCGGGACGCTACTTCTTCTAATATTATACTATTATTTAAACTAGAGAAAGAGAAGGTTATCTAGTAGTTATAGCTCTCTATTTATATAGTATTTAGACTAACTAATAGTTCTAAGTACTATAGACTCTTACATTAATATTATACTACTTTAGTCTAGCTCTATCTATTAAAATTGATACTATTATAAGGTAGTATTCCTCTAGAGTTAGGTTTAATATAAATATAGTTACTAGTATATTGCTCTAATAAATTAAGGGCTTCTCAGATAAGTATAATCTTCTCTATTAGCTCCTTAGTTAGTTCTTATCGATTTTCCTTCTTAAGTAATATCTTCTCTCCTATTAAATAAGACTTATAGTATACTCTGTTTTCCTTTTCTATAAATAAGAAGAATCTATACTACTTCTTATAGTAGACTAATATAACTATACTTTTATCTATTATACCTTCTTTACTTTTAGAGTCTACTTAGTCGAAACTCTATAGAAATACTAGATTAATAGTACTATTTATAATCTAAGTGTTTTTATTAATTTCTTCCTATAGGATTTAATATTTAGTTTATATTCCTAGAGAAACCTACTAGATTATAAAAGAGGTATTCTTAATTTCTTTACTTTTGATACTAAGGTTTACTAGTATATTCTTTCCGTCGATCTAGTAGTCTATATTAGAGTTTAACTCTTCTTCTACTATAGTCGAGTATTATAAATATAATAAAGATTTAGCTTTCTTATACTCCTTTACTCTGTTATTAATCTCTACTTTTACTTTCTTTTTATAGGTATTATAATATTTAATTAAGCCTCTTTAATATATTTAGTAAATCCTAAAGTTTTGGTAATTAATAAAGTTAATATTAAAATATTAAGGATAAGGTTAGAGGGAGTTAATATTATAGTAAGAGCTTTAAGTCTTCGTATTTTACTTAGATTTACTTCTTAAGTTTACCTTTATATCTATTACTCCTTATATATATACTTTAGCTTAACTATCTATAAGTAACTTAACTACTTTAAGTAATAAAAGATAAATAATAAATTCCTAGACCTTACCCTTATCATCTCTAAACTATAATATAGTCCTTTTTTAAGCCCTTATTAGCTTTTTTACTATAGCTATATAACTAATATTAATACTTATCCCTTCCTAAAAAAAAACTTCTTTAAAACTAGTAAAGGTTAGAAAAGATCTAGACTAACTATTAAGGCTACTAAATCTACCTTCTTCTTCCCCTAGTAATTCTTATCTAGTTACTTATTTATTTTATTTACTACCTTCTAATATTTATTTAAATCCTTAGAATTTAGAAGATTATCTACCTTTCTTCTCCATAGTTTAGGTAGTATTTCTTAGTATATTAAACTCTTTTCCTTTACTTTTTCTTCCTTAACTATCTTTATAAACTAAAGAAGGTTTACTTTTATCTTATTATTTATTTATACTACTAACTACTAGTCCCCTAATACTTTACTATTAACTTATTATTTAGTAAAGAGCTTAATATAGTTTATATAAAAGTAACCTAGATACTTATTTGTATTAAGGTCCTAGACCTAAAATAATACCTTGTTTATTTTCCCTAGTTTTATAACTTGATATAGTCCTAACTAATATAGTTCTAGCTTATAGAACCTTTATTTATCTTACAGTAACGTTTAAAGAAGGATTAAGTTACCTACCTTAGGAATAGGAAATTACTTTTTATCTTTCTAAGGTGTCACAAATCACGTGCTAGCACGTGAGGAGTTAGTCCAGACGGGGTTCTGACAGGACAAACACATCATGGCTCTTATAGCAAAAAGGGATCGCTTAGGTTAGTTAAGCGATCCAGGAATTTCTTTGTATACAAGTCACGTGATATATGCAGGTCGACTTCTCGCCTGGTCGAGAAGTCGATTATCGACTATGTCGACAGTCGACATTGTCGACTTCAGGAACACGAAGGTTCTATATAAGACTGGCACGTCTGCCATTAGATAGGAGCTTCGTGCTCAACTTAGTTATCAATCTTATCATATTAGTTTGACATCTTTGATACAAGTAACGAGTTCACTTCCAAGTGAACAACCCGATAGTCTTCTTCTTATCATAGCATACCAACCAGCGAACACCCAGCCAAGTTTAGTTAGCCAGTTTGAGTATTCGTT